GTCAGACAGCCGTGTTGCTTCCTGTTGTACCGACAGCGTGACCTCCGTTTCGAGAATGAAAGGTGGCGTTAGCGAGATAACGAACCTATCAATGGTCGAACATGTCTGGGTGTGCTTGCAGAAGTGTGTCGGCACGCCAGAGACCACCCCCACCATACGAAAGTCAAACAGCGCACGCCAGAATGGTTGATGCTGTTGCCCACGAACTTTCACATCACGCCGAGCCGCAGGCCTCAGAAGGGAGTCAGGTGCGACATCCGCCACGTTGAAGTCGCCCATGGCAATGAAGCAACGGCGCCGTTCATCTTGTTGGGCCCACGCAGCCGCACGCCTCCACAAGGTACGCACCGCCTGGCGTGCCTGGGCGTCCAACTCAAAGTTATGTACATTCAAAATGTGAACTGCTTGGCCAGCACCTCGGGCTTGTAGAGAGAGGATGCGTCCAGGAGCCACACATCGGGGCAGAAAGGACGGGATAGCATCAGAGGGGAGCTTCTCGAGATCCGCCTCCTTGTACCATGGAATCAAAATCGCAACACCTCCTCTCCCAGGTGACGAAGCTGCGCTGAAAAAGAATCGGTACTCATAAGGAAACTGCCTCAACAAAAAGCGTAAGTCATATTCAGATCCATGCACTTCTTGAAGTAGAATGACCGCTCGCATGCGAAGAAAGGGTTCAAGCCTCTTGAGTTTCGAGCGACATAGAGCTCTCCTGCGACCCTTGGAGCTGAGTCCACACAGGCCTCTGGCATTCCATGAGACGACCCTGACCTCTCGTCGAGACCCCTTCTCAAGCGTTTCAATCCGCCACGGCTGAGCCCATTGGTCAGGACCACGACCAGGAACTGGTATCCACCGTCTCGAAGGCACGATGGAAGGCAGCCGTGATGCCCGCCACGTCCACTTGGTGCTGGGCGACCACCGCTTGATTCCAAGCAAGTCTTGAAGGCTCGCTGGCACCTCTGACCACCACCTCAACCAGCGGCTGACCTTCGATGTGCACCAAGCCTCTTGATCTGGTAGCCCACCGGCGTTTGTTGGGCATCTTCTCCTGAGCGATAGCGGCCAATCGTTTGGACTGCTGCTCACGTCTGATCTGCTTGGGGGCTTTATCGGGGCCAACGTACAAAGGACCAGTAGCCCCAGAAAGCTGCCTAGCCGAGAACCCCCTCCATTCCCCCGAGGGGAAGCGGAGGGCCTTGGCCAAGGTGATGGCCTTAGAGATACCTGTCGCACCACCTTTGACCTCCAAGACAAACCGTCTGCTGGGTCCCCGTCCGTGCAGCACTGCATCCTCCGCATCAAGCTTGGCGTCGCTGATCCAAGATGAGATAGCTCCGCGCACTTCGTCGGGAGCAACATCATCGGGAGCGTTGATCGTGAAGATCGTGGGGTAGGGGTCTCTGTCAAAGTCCGCGAGACGGGCGATGTCCACCGCTGAGTGTTCTTCCTCCGATAGTGCCAACCGATTATTGATCCGCTTGATGTCTGCGCGCATCTCTTTCTGGGCGTCTTCCATGGCGAGCTGCTTCCTCTGAAGGTCGCCAATGGCCAGGTCGTGTCCATCAACCCTCTGCATCGTCGGGGCGAAGTGGGCCTGGAGCTGCGAGATGATCGTGCCCTGGGCTTGCTGCAGAGTGGTGGCAACAGCATGCTGGACTTGCGCGGTGATGTTCGCCGCGTGCGCCTGCAGCTGAGAAGCAACAACCTGCGAGACATAGTTAGCCCATTCAGGACCGCCCTCGGTTCCCTCACCATGTCCAGCAGGCATCGTAGGAGTGATGTCATCTCGTGGCGTCGCCGTGCCCTCCACCTGTGCACGAGGGAAAGCAGGAGGAGTGAGAATCGCATCAGCTGCAGCCCTAGACCAGGGATCATGCGGATCAACCCGCTGCTGCGAAGGCGGGCATGTGGGGACCTGCGAGAGCCGTGCGCCATCCCGTTCCATCTCGAGGACCGCATCCGCCATACTCTGGTTCGCAGATGGCAGGGTGGGAGCCCGAGAGACCTCAGGGGCTTCATGATCTTGGCTCTGTCGTGGACCATCAGAGGCACTGCGTGGCGGGCGTCGGCGTCGCTCACCTCTCTCTGAGCGCCCACGACTGGGCTTGTCAGAGCCAGAGGAGCCAGCAGACACAGAAGAGACAGACACATCATGATCACTCTCACGGCGCCTCCGACGCCGTTCCTTCTCCCTCTTCGACCGCCTCGCTGATCCGCCCATGGCGCGCCAAAGAGAATATGATCGAAACCGCGGAACGGTGGGAGGGCAATGGATGAGGGCGCCCAACTCCCTCCGTGAAGGCGACGAGAAACACCGTGTACTGGCCGCGGACCAGCGGCATCCATGCGGCCGCAGGGCGACATGGGTACCTTGAGCCAAAATGGCTACGGAAGGAGGAGGAGGAGGAGGAGGAGAAAGAAGCGTGCAAGCTTCCACTGTTCGTGATGCAAGGCAGGTCGCCTGTGGAGATCCACGCGAGGCGCGTCGGTGAGTGCGAGCAGAGAAGCCTGGGCGGCAGCTGCCTCTAGCAGCGCCTGGACTTGCGGATGCTTCAGATGGCGCAGCGAGCCGCCACAAGGAACAAACGCGGGCCGCCGTCGTGGCCACGCGGTCGCCCGGCCTCCCCCCGCCCCCCCCGTATCACCCCGTTCCCTTCAGATGCGTGCCAGCTGACAAAGCCTGGTTGGGTTGCTGCGGGCGACGAGAAAAATTATGCACACTTCATTGAAGCACCGTGCCAGCTATCGCAAACTGCGCGAGTAGCGATGGAGCCAGGAACCTGCAGTAGTGGCATGGTCTGGGCCGCCGAACGTCGTAGGCAGACCGCCCTATGCGCGGCCAAGGCCGCCGGCCTGAGAATTTCGCGCTGCGAGGAGCGCGATGAGGTCCGTTCCTTCAATTCGAAAACCATAAGAAGAAAGTGCTGTATATCCTCCCGCACGCGCTGGAAGCAACGCGATAATGGTGCGCATGCGCAAAATATTCCTGATTGTGATCGGGCTCAACACAAAAACAAACTATTCCCAATCACTGGCCAGGCAAAGACGGGAGACGAGCGCTTCTCTAGGCATCCGCACGTGCAGATGAGGTATCCTGAAAGGAGGGGAGAAGGATAATGGGGGTGGAGGAGCAAGTGGAGGTAAGATGGAAAGGGGGCGCCCGAACCGAGATCGGGGCGCAAACCAACTTCCCATAGTCGGGTGCATGCAGCGAAACGTGGCGAGGGATGCGTAAGTGGGGCGCGCTATGACGGGGCGCCGTTCGCGAGCAGAAGACTCATCGAACATCAATGCCGACGTCGTAGTTCGGCGCTGGCATCATATGAATCGCCGGGTTCTGCTGGAACATGCTGTGCTGGGGGCTGCCCATCAGCGCGACGACCATGACAGAAACGCCGTGTGGCACCGGGTGGGGGGCGACGGGTGGGTTGGTTGCCAGTGGGTGCAGCGGCGCGGAGAGGCCGCTGCGCGTGCCGAGGTGCTTCTGTGGCGCTGGCCGTGCAAATCCTACGACGCGGTCGCCCGCCTCGGGGCAGAGAGGCCCCTGGGAGTTCGCCAGCAGTGGCGCGGGGGCGCGTGGCAGCGGCGCGCCGAAGGCTGCCGGGCTCACGCTGCTGGCCGCGCCGGGCGGCGCGCGCGTCGGCGAGTTGCGCGGCGCGGCGGGTCGAGGGGTGGCGGCGGTTCAACGACCTGGTCCTTCTTGATGATGAGCGCGCGGTACAATGGATTTCGAACCTTGGCCAAGTGGGTAGACTTGGCCTTCGCCGCGTTGGCTTCGTAGCCCTGGGTGTGAGCGCGGGGCGCGTCCACCAAGTGTTCGCGGCAACCAAATCGCTCCGTGTGGTGCCAGGTGGCATGGGAACGGGAGGCATCGGCGGTTTGCTTAAAATTCACGAACGCGTTATAATGAGAAACGCTGGGGGCTGCCCAGCCACTGCAAAGAAAGAGAGGTTGGCTAAGCCTGCCTCAGTGCTACATTGGGCTCAGAAGGGGTAGCGCCTGATCAGGCCAGGGACGCTGTCCGAGCTAGCGGGAGTCCACGGAGAACTTGAACACAGAGTCGAAGGTGCGTGCGAATACGAAGCCCGAGCCCATCTTGCAGTCGACGAGGCACGAGCAAATTGGATTGCGTTGACACCAGAGGTAAGGATGACCATGGCGACATCAACGCAGACAGCAAAACTGATATGGAATTGCACATCAACTGCAGACCGCCCAAGCTGCATTCGCGTGCACAGAAAGCCTTGGCGTAAATGAGCAGGCGCCCAACTTCAACGCTCAGGTGGTTTGCCGCCCTTCGTCCCGCCGCGGCCAGCCCTGTAAGGTGTGGCCCTGGGATCGGCAGCAAACTGGCTCCGGCACACCCCTGCCGATGACACGGAAGCCTGGTCTCCGGGGCGCAAGGTGCGTGCTGAAGAAGCCCGCAAGGTGTGGCAACTGCCATCGTCATCATGCACACCGTCAGCTCCGCCACGGGCGGGGAGCTCAGTTAGAGGCAGTCCTGCTGGCTGCGTGGGCGGATCAGCGCCAGCTGCAGGACTTGGAGACGCCAGAGCGGGCGCTGCGGCAAGATCCCCCCCAAGACCCGCGCTTCGGCCAGCTGCGACACCGCCAGGAGGAACATCTTCAGGAAGCAAATCATGGGGAGCCTGCGCGGCATCAGCCTTAGCCTGCTTGGCTGCCTTGCGGCGCCCCTTCGCCCTCGAGCGTTGAGCGCGACGCGCGGCGCGGGGCGCGTCCAATTATTGTGCAGGGTCGTCGGGCGCCGTGCCGGCGCTCTGCGCACCAGCGGCAGCCCGCTCAAAACGTGTGCGAGGCACGGCGTCAGCAGCCGGGCGCACCAAGGCGCCTGTGACTGCCGCCGCGACCGCCTGCACTGTCCTGCGAGGGGCGCCCGTTTGGCAAGCGGCGCGAACAGCTGCCGCCAGGAGGGCGGCGCCATCAGCGGACATGGCTCCTATGCGCTGCCCGAGGGGGGGCAAGGCAACTACGGCAATCGCTTGAGCCAAAACTTAATTCACGAGCGCGTATCCCTTGCAACGCCCAGAAGAGAATTCCCTGGGGAGGTAACAAAGATCGAAGGCGTCCCCGACACACCTGCTGATAGCAAACCACCCTAACTCTGGAGTGGTGCTAGAAGAGGGTCCAAACCGAGGTCCACCTCGATGACCCTGCGTGAAAATGGAACTATCGGGGGGCCGCCCCGTTCTCCATGCGTAAGTGGGCCCTCGACAAAGCGTCGGGCCACGTAGAAGGAAATCCACCCGCTCGTCGAACGAGAAGCCTATGGAAAGCGTCGATCTCAAACGATCTTAGCCCCGCACGGGGCGGCCTTGGAAGTGAGACGTCGTTCGGCGCAGCCCAAACCCTTGATCCGCCAGGGAACGGGGGGCCAGGCGCCCCGCTCAGGGGGCAGCCACTTGATGCGCCTCAGGAGAGCTGGTAACGCGGCCGCCAAACTCTCCCGGCGTGACCGTCGCGACGCGGGCTGGGCGCCAGCTCGGCGCCGGCGCCGCGGCCGCTGTGCACGCCGTGTGGCGGCGCGCCGGCTTTGGTCCGGAGGGTCGGCTGCCTTCGCCGCTGGGAGGCGGCTCGTGGTGGCCACCTTCGCCCAATCGCGCGCGTACACCTGCTCCCACTCCTCGTCATACTCGCTCGGGGAATCCTCGAGGTCGGCCCCCGCCACTCTCACGGGGACCTTCCGGGCGCCGTCGCCGTTCTCGACAGCGACCTCGTGGGGCTCGTCGTCGGTCAGCTTGGCCGCGAAGACGAAGAGGTCGTCGCCGAGCTCGAAAAGAACTCTCGCTTCGGCCAGCGCGGCCTCATATGCCGCGTCGGCATCGACGTCGTCGTCCTGCTCCTCGGCTTCGCTGGCGGAGTCGTCAGCGTCAATGCCAAGGAGTGCCCTCGCTTCGGCCAGCTGGGCCGCGAAGGCGTCGTCGAAGCCGGTCACGTTGAGCTCCCGAACGAAGCCATGCTGACTCAGCGTGAGTGGCAAGTTGCGCACCATCAGCGCGGTCACCTCGCCAGACTTGGAATTGATGCCAGCGGCCTTCATCTTCGTCGGCCGCCCACCTGCACTGCGGTCGGTTCCAGCGCACATGGGATCGGCTCGACCATCCCCTCCAGCGTCGGCGCTGCTGCTGGGCCCCCGCCTGCTCGGGGTCAGCGACTGCTGACTGGCCGTTGGCGGCTGGGACTGCCGGGGTGCCCGTGCGGCTCTGTGGCGCGAGCTGGGGGCGGTGCGCTTCCTGGCGTGCATCGGGGGGGCCGCCACCGCAGGCTCCTCGCAGATGGTCCTGGTCCAGGCCTGCAGATCCGACTTATCTGCCTTCAGCTGGAACACATCAGCGCCTCCGATCACCTGCCCGCGTCGCCCGACGACAGGCCCAAACTCATCGTCCGTCTAATCCGCCCACTTCGCACTCTTAACCACGCAGCTGGCGCCGCTACTGGGGTCGTAGTCACTGCCCTCGCTTGTCGTGCTCCCCCAGGAACTATACGCGTCCACGCTCTGCTTGAGGCCGCTATCCAAGCTGCTGGTATCGTCCGTTGCGGTCGTCGGGCAAGAGATAACCAACTTCTGATCGGTGGCGATCGTCTCTTCGGACGCGCACCTTGACGGACACAGTTTGGCCTTGTCGGGCTCGGGGAGAAGTCCGACGCCTGCGGCCGGCGGCCACGACCTGTTGCGGCGGCACGTGCGCTCGCAGCGTCGCTCCGCGAGGTCGCGGCTGGCCTGCTGGCGGGGCGCTGCCGCTGACATTGCCAACGTCAGGTCGGGGGTGGTGCCTGGCCAGTGCCTGGTGCCTCGTCCGGCGCTGCCAGTGCTAGAACGCTTGAGCCAGCATGATACGGATGAGACTTCCTCAGGCTTCATGGCAAGACGTGCAAGCGCGCAACATCTGGTATTGCGTTTTTCAAAGCGGGACTCTAACTGGACATGCCGGAGTGGTCGGGGAGACACTCTTCAAACTTTCACACTGGGGCCGTCTGTGGAGCCCTCTACGGGGCACGAAGCGTGTGATTGATGTGCCAAGATGGATGGTGGGACGCCGTGCAACACGTCCCACTGGGGCCGTATGTGGCGCTTCCTAAGGAACAAAAAAATGAGAGGTGTTCCGAGATGAAAAGGGACGCTATGCAAACTCGCCCACTGTCGTGGCCACGAAACGCGTGAGGTGTGTGTGTGTGTGTGCGCCGAAAAGGGCCGGGGGACGGTGTACGAACTTCCCCACTGGGGCCGTCTGTGGAGCTCCCTTAGAAATACGGAACGTGTGATGGGATGCACAAGACTTCTTGTTGTGTGTGTGTGTGTGTGTGCATGTGTGTGTGGTGGGGGGGGACGCCGTGCAAAGTTTCCTCCTGGGGCCGTCGGCGGAGCAGCTTTATCAAAGGGGCGCGAAGCTTGTAGGGTGTGTCGAACTCGGCGGGGGGACGTCGTGGGAACATTCGCACTGGGGTCGTAAATGGACTTCCCTGAGGGGCACGACACGTGTGACGGGTATGCCGAAATAGGGGGGGCGGTGCAATACGTCGGCGCCCGCTGAATACGTACGTGGAGCTACACAAGTGTCACGATCCGTGTGACGGGTTTGCCAGAATGGGGGCGGCGGTGTCATAAGTCGGTGCCCACTGATGCCATAGACGAAGCCTCCTAAGGGCACAACACGTGCAAGTGGTGTGCCGAACTGGGGGCGGCGGTGTCATCCGTCGGCGCCCACTGGAACCGTTGGTGGAGCCTCGAAGGGGCACGAAGCGTGTAAAGGGTTTGCCAACATGGTGGCGGCGGTGCCATGCGTCTGGGCCCACTCGTACCATCGATGGAACTTCCTCAGAGGGACACAACGTGTGAATGGTGTGCCGGATTGGGGGTGGTAACGCCGTAAGTCGGCACCAACTGAGACAGTGGGTGGAGCTCAGAAAGGGGGCACGCAACGTGTGAGTGGTGTGTCAGACATGTGTGAGCGGTGTGTCGACATGTGGGCGGCGGTGCTGTTCATCGGCGCCCACTCAGACCGTAGATGGAGCGCTCGAGGGGCGGGGAATGTGCGAGGGGTGTTTGCCGAAATGTGCCAGAAAGAATATGCTAACCAACGTGGGCCCTAAACAGGTGTAGTATACGTGCTGCAAGCTATGTGGTGCACGGTATGTGGTGGAATCTATGTGGTTCAATTAATTGCTGTTCGCAGTGAATTGTCCACTCCACTGCTCGCGCAAACATCCCACCCATCCACCCGCAACTTTGTTTGCAAAATCTCTTGAGACCGTGACGGTGGGTACCAAATGCCACTTGGCAACGACAGCGACGCCGACGACGACAACGACAACGACGACGACGACGCCGCCGACAACGACTACGACGACATCGACGACGTCTCCAACGACTTCGACGACGCCGACAACGACGACGACGACGACACCGACCACGACGACGACGCCGACGCCGACGACGACGACGATGACAACGACGACGACGATGACGACGCCGACGACGACGACAACGACAACGCCGACGACGACGACGTCAACGACGCCGACGACGATCACAACGACGAAGACGTCGACGACGACGAAGACGACAACGACGCCGACGCCGACGACGACGACGACGACGACGTCGCCAACGAAAATGACGACGAGGGAGGAGGGAGGACGAGGACGGCGATAACGATGACAACGACGAGGGAGGAGGGAGGACGGCGACGACGCGAACGACGAAGAAGGAGGAAGGACGGCGACGCCGACGACGACAACGACGAGGGAGGAGAGAAGACGACGACGACGGACGACGACGACGACGGCGACGAAATAGGAGGGACGACGACGAGACGCCGACGACGGACGACGACGACGACGAGGGAGGAGGAGGAAGGACGACCACGGCGACAACGACGACGGAAACGACCACGACGCCAAAGAGGACGACGACGACGAACACGAGGAAAAACAGAGGACGACGTAGGACGACGACGACGACGACGCGGGAGGAGGGAGGACGGCGACGACGACGACGACGACGCAAGAGCGCGCGCGCACGCTTTTGTCGAACATCCGTGTTGCGAAACCTTGTGTTTTTGTAGGTTTTTTGGGTACACGATGTTTAGATCCTTCCGAAACCGATGGGTTTTGAAGGATTTCGGCATACGCGCGCGACGACGAACGCGTCTGCACTTCGGCTCGTTTTTTCCAGAGGACTCTCGCGACGGCACGCGCGCAAGGGCTTTCGACAGATTTCGACATGCGCGCGCGCGAAGCCTGTTTGGTAGCATGTTGTGAAAATCTTGGAAAACCTATGGTTTGCTTAAGATTTCGCAAGAGCTCGCGCTTAAGTTTTTTTAGCAAACCAGTGTTGCGAAACCCTGTGTGTTTGTATATGTTTTGGGAACTCGATTGTGAAATCCTTCCGGCACCGAAGGTTCTTGCGGAATCTCGGCATGCGCGCGCGACGACGCGCGCGTGTGCACTTCGCCCCATCTGTTGCACGGGATCCGCGAAAAAGTGCTATGTTAAAACAGAAAATGTCACCGATTGCGAAATTCTTCCAACACCGAAAGTTTTTGAAGGATTTCGGCATGCGCGCGCGCGACGACGCGCGCGTGTGCACTTCGTAAATTTTGTTGCAAGGGATTCGTGACAAAGTCTTATGTTAGAGCAAAACATGTCACCGCATAGTGTTTTTCCCCAAAGGAACCTCAGGGGGCGAACCCGGCTGGCCTGGGACATTGCGATTTCATGTTTAGGATGGACATGTGGTCAGAATCAAATGTGATTTGCATAGGACACGGGGGGAGCGATAACGCCGGGGGGGGGGAGTCTATTCTCCTTTCCAAAAAAAATAGACTCTACCCCCCCCCGGCGTTGTCGGTCCCCCTTTCGGGTATGTAAATCATATCTGATTCTGACCACATGTCCATCCGAAATATGCATTGACACTATCCCCGGGGGGCCGGGTTCCCCTCCCCTGAGGTTCCCTTGTAAAAAAAAAAAACACAATGCGGTGACATTTTCTGTTTTAACATAGCACTTTTTCGCGGATCCCTTGCAACAGGTGGGGCGAAGTGCACACGCGCGCGTCGTCGCGCGCGCATGCCGAGATTCCGCAAAAACCTTCGGTGCCGGAAGGATTTCACAATCAAGTTCCCAAAGCACATACAAAAACACAGGGTTTCGCAACACTGGTTTGCTAAAAAAACTTAAGCGCGAGCTCTTGCGAAATCTTAAGAAAAAAAACCGTAGGTTCTTCAATACTGTTACAACATGCTACCAAACGGGCTTCGCGCGCGCGCATGTCGAAATCTGTCGAACGCCCTTGCGCGTGTGCCGTCGCGAGAATCCTCTGCAAAAAACGAAACGAAGTGCAGACGCGCGCGTCGTCGCGCGCGTATACCGAAATCCTTCAAAACCCATCGGTTTCGGAAGGATTTCAACATCGTGTGTCCAAAAAACCTACAAAAACACAAGGCTTCGCAACACGGATTTTCAACAAAAGCGTGCGCGCGCGCTCTCGCGTCGTCGTCGTCGTCGTCGTCGCCGTCCTCCCTCCTCCCGGGTCGTCGTCGTCGTCGTCGTCGTCGTCGCCGTCCTCCCTCCTCCCGGGTCGTCGTCGTCGTCGTCGTCGTCGCCTACGTCGTCCTCTGTCTTTCCTCGTGTTCGTCGTCGTCATCCTCTTTGGCGTCGTGGTCGTTTCCGTCGTCGTTGTCGCCGTGGTCGTCCTTGCTCCTCCTCCCTCGTCGTCGTCCCTCCTATTTCGTCCCCGTCGTCGTCGTCGCCGTCGTCGTTGTCGTCGTCGTTGTCGTCGTCGTTGTCGTCTTCCCTCCTCCCTCGTTGTTGTCGTCGTCGGCGTCGCCGTCTTTCCTCCTTCGTCGTCGTTCGCGTCGTCGCCGTCCTCCCTCCTCCCTCGTCGTTGTCGTCGTTGTCATCGTTGTCGCCGTCGTCGTCCTCCCTCCTCGCTCGACGTCATCGTCGTCTTCGTTGGCGACGTCGTCGTCGTCGTCTTCGTCGTCGTCGTCGGCGTCGTCGTCGACGTCGTCGTCGTCGTCGTCGTTAGCGTCGTCGTCGTTGTAATCGTCGTCGTCGTCGTCGGCGTCGTCGTCGTCGATGCCGTCGTCGTCGTCGTCGTCGGCGACGTCGTCGGCGTCATCGTCGTCGTCGTCGTCGGCGTCGTCGTCGTCGTCGTCGGTGTCGTCGTCGTCGTCGGCGTCGTCGCCGTCGTCGTCGTCGGCGTCGTCATCGTCGTCGTCGGCGTCGGCGTCGTCGTCGTCGGTGTCGTCGTCGTCGTCGTCGTCGTCGTCGTCGAAGTCGTCGGAGTCGTCGTCAGTGTCGTCATAGTCGTCGTCGGCATCGTCGTAATCGTCGTCGTTGTCGCTGTCGTCGTCGGCGTCGGTGTCGTTGCCAAGTGCCATTTGGTACCTACCGTCAAGGTCTTAAGAGGTCTTGCGACCAAGTTGCGGGTGGGAGGGTGGGATGTTTGCACCAGCAGTGGAGAGGACAGCTTCAAGGCAGTCAAAGTAGATTCTCTTATTAGGAGGGGGAATCTACGTGACACAAGGTATATGGCGTAAGCTATGTGGTGCATGCTATGTGGTGCCATCTGCGTGGTGTGAACTATGCGGTGCAAGGCATGTGGTGCAATATTTTTGGTAGGAGCTAGCGTACTCTTCTATGTGGTGTGAGCTATGTGGTGTAAGGTGTGTGGTGCCATCTGGGTGGTATGATCAATGAGGTGTAAACTATGTGGTGCAATCCATGTGGTGCGATCTACGTGGTGTAGGCTATTTGGTGCAACCTAAACGGTGTAATCAATCCAGTGTAATCTGGGCGGGGCGACCCGGAAGTACTATGCTATGCAAGGCGCTGCCCAGCACTGCAAAGCAATGCAGAGCAGTGGGAAGCAGTGGTGCAACGCAATGCCGAGCACTGCAACGCAACTCAATGCCATGCAAGGCAACGCAATGCAAAGCAACACACAGGACACACTACACAGCAATGGAATGCAACTCATGGCACTGCAACACAACGCCAAGCAATGAAAGACACGCAAAGCTATGCACACAATGCCAAGCAATTTAATGCAGCACAATGCAACTTGATTCAGAACCATGCGTACCATGGTACAGCACTGCAGCGCAATGTACATCAGTGAAAAGCAGCACATTGCACGGCGATTGCAAAGCAGTGCGATTGCAATGCAATGGCGCACAGCAGTGCACAGTGACGCAAAGCAGTGCCAAACAATGTAGAGAGGTATATATCGCAGTGCAGAACATCGCCACGTAATGTCAAGCAATGTCAAGCAATGCAAAGGAATGCGATGCAATGCAAGGTGGGCGGCGACGAGGCGGCGACGGCGGTCACATGGTGACCAGAGCGGCCCGCAGGCCCAAGCGACGTGCGGCGACGTGCGGCGACGGGCGGCGGCGAGGCGGCGGCGAGGCGGCGACGGCGGGCAGAGCGGCCCGCAGGCCCAGTTCCTTAGAAGACAAGTGAGAAACCCTAAGTGCAAACACTAGTTGGAGAATAAAGAAGAGAGGTTGGGGGGAGGAGGAAGGTGCAGCGCGGTGCAGCGTGTGCAAAGCGAGGATCCAACTCCACACGGGAGGGTATGTAACAATGCCAGTTGTGCGTTGCCGTGCATAATAAGCCATGCGCTATTTTGCAATGGCCTCAGTCAGTGATCTTTTGTACTTCCTTCTCATTGTGTTGCTTTGTCTCCTGTTCCTCTTGGATTTCCCCCAACACTGGCGCGAGGAGCGCGCCAGGGGCGGTGCCAGAGGCGCCGCCAGGGGGGTCCAACGCAGATCCAAGACATCCGCGCAGAACTCCGAACATTTATGTTGATGTAACTTTTTCTCATTCGAACCTTGTAGAGCTCGCGGAGGACAACAATGGGCGCATCCAATGTACTTACGTATTTGGTCGCCGTTTTTGTCCACCATCGTCATCATCCCAGGAGTGGCTTCTGAACGCGCCTTGTCGCGGGCCGCCGCTCCCACGGAGCAGCGTTCGGCCGCATCCCTCACTTTCCTGCCAACGCGTCCACTCGGATGCAAGGCCACTGTCCGTCTGTCAGAACTCCCTGATGCCCAGACATCCGACGCCGTGTTTTTCCTCGCAACTTCGCTCCCCAGAGGTCTGGTCCCCTCCACGGGGACTCGCTTTTCACGCCGAGCCGTCTCTTGACGGCCCCAGGGCCCCCAGACGCTGCAAATCTCCAGAAATCTGTCCACTGGATGCGCGAAGGGCGTAGCTTCCGCTGGGACTGCCAGGAATCAACGAAAGTGGTGCCAAGAGAGCCTCAAACCTTGGTCCTCTCTGGGCAGAGGGCAGCCAAGGTACTCGCCAAGTGCCCACGCAGCTCTAGACTGTTTCGAGAGCCGTTCGCGACCGCGCGGGAAGGGCCAACTGCTCAGTCGAACAAGTCGAAATCCGACGGATGTCTCAACGACTCGAGGATGTCAGGATACCGACTGCATCAGGGCCCCGTAAACGGGACTTTGACAAGCCAGGAGGACAGTGGCGCGCCCGAGAAACTGCAGCTGCGGGGGGGAGCATTTTCCAATCTTCGCTCTTTCCACCTTGGATTTTCAAAATCCTGGTTTGCAATGTCCTGGTTCCAAATGCCCTGAGACTACATCGAGCCAGGACTAGACCCGGCGGGTGCAGGCCCGCAAACATTGCAGCCGCAGCGCCCTTACAAAAACTGGGGTAACGCAATTCGCTAATCGACTTGGCAAGGTGGGGACCTCCGAACGTGCATTTTCGGCTGGTTTCGCTGGCCCGTCCACTGGTTTCGCTCGGCTGGTTTCGCCTACCCGCCCGTTAGGGTTTCGTCCGCCCGACCCGCCCCTTAGGCTCCCGCCCGCCCGACCTGCCAACTTGCCACCTAGCGTCCCGCCCGCCCGACCCGCCCGTTAGGGTCCCGCCCGCCCTGGTGAAACCTCCCGCCGACACCAGCCCCAGCGAAACCAGCGCCGGCTAAAGCAGCCCTCGCGAAATCAGCCGTCGGCGAAACCAGCCATGGCGAAACCAGCGGTCGGCGAAACTAGACAGGCGAAACCAGCGCTGGCGAGACCAGCCCATGCCAGCCTATCTCCCCATAAACGTTGCCCCTGATGTCCCAGAAGTCCCGACACGCGAGGCCAGTTTCCCGTCCTGGTTTCACTTTTCATTGCCCCAGGGCACATCGACGGCCCCTTGATGCCGAGCAACGCCGGGATTGAAACAATTACCCGAGACGTGCCCAACCCCAGCTCCACGCGAGGCGACTAGTTGTATGAACGCTCCATACAAAACACATCGCGAGATAAGCACGATCTGCGCTGCCCTGCACTCCGCCCTGCCTCCTAGGAGCCCGCGGAAGTGGCGACAGCTGCACAGTTTGCAGCCCCCGATGGAAGCCGCGGGGTCTCGAAGCGATCTGCGCTGCCCTCACCTCCGCCGTGCCTCTCAGGAGCACGTGGAAATGACGACGACAATTGCGCAGTTCGCAGCCCCCGACGGAGCCGCGAGGTCCTAAGAGGATCCACACTGCTCTCACATCCGCCGTGCTTCCCAGGAGCCCACGAAAGTGGTAACGACAGTTGCGCCAGTTCGCAGTCCCCGACGGAGCCGCGAGGTCTCAAAAGGATCCCCGCTGCCCTCACCTCCGCCATTCCTCACAGGCGACCATGGAAGTGGCGACAACTGCGCAGTTCGCAGCCCCCGATGGGAGCCGCGAGATCTCGCTTGGATCCGCTCTGCCCTCCTAGACTCCGCCGTTCCTCGCAGGAGCCCAGAAAGTGACGACGACAATTGCGCAGTTCGCAGCCCCCGACGGAAGCCGCGAGGTCTCAAAAGGATCCCCGCTGCCCTCACCTCCGCCGTACCTCCCAGGAGACCATGGAAGTGGCGACGGTTGCGCTAGTTCGCAGCCCCCGATGGGAGATCTGCGCTGCCCTCACCTCCGCCGTGCCTCCCAGGAGCCCAGGAAAAGGTCGACGACCGTTGCGCAGTTCGCAGCTCCCGACGGAGCCGCGAGGTCTCAAAAGGATCCCCGCTGCCCTCACCTCCGCCGTGCCTCCCAGGAGGCCGTGGAAGTCGCGACGGTTGCGCCAGTTCGCAGCCCCCGATGGGAGCCGCGGTCTCGAAGTGATCTGCGCTGCCCTCACCTCCGCCGTGCCTCCCAGGAGACCGCGACGGAGGCGACGACAAGTGCGCAGTTCGCAGCTCCCGACGGAGCCGCAAAGTCTCAAAAAGATCCCCACTACCCACTCCTCCGCCGTGTCTCACAAGAGCCCACGAAAGTGGTGACGACAGTTGCGCAGTTCGCAGTCCCCGACGGAGCCGCGAGGTCTCAGAAGGATCCCTGCTGCCCTCACCTCCGCCGTTCCCCCCAGGAGACCAAAACAGTTTGCAGCACCCGAGGGAACGCACAGGATGAAGGAGGTCGGCGGAGGAGGAGGTGGAGGAGGATGAGGAGATAGGGGGCAGGAGGTAGGCGGCAGGAGGAAGAAAGAAGGAAGAAGGATGGCAGGAAGGAAGGAAGGAAGGACTGAAGGAAGGAAAGAGGGAGACGCACAAGCAAAGCTCTAATTCAAATTGAGAACCCAACACAGAGAAAAGGCCCTCCAAATCGCACGAAAACCTGGATTCTCGAACCCTCGATGCCCTCCCTCCCATCTACGCCGACCACATCGAGTCCGAGAAGGCCGGACGACGTGCCGCCGGTTGTCGGAGACTGGTGGATGTCAGGACACAGGCTACCCAAACCCCCGACGCCGTGATTTTTCCCGGATAGCTCTCTGAGAGCTAAGAGGGATTCAAACTAGAAGCCGGCAACGCAGGGTAACTCCGAAGCTCGTTCCCGCGCCAGGTAGGGAACGCCGCAGGAGCTTGCTTGAAGCTGCAGCGTGTTCCGGAAGCGTTTTCCGACTCTTTTCCAATACGCGTGTCGTAAGCCTTTCCGCAGCTCCTCCGCAGCGCTTCGTGAGCCTTTGCGAGGCTCATTTCTCGAGCTTGCAAGCTCTTCTGAAATCATTTCAAGCGTGCTTGCAATTGTCTCCCACAAGCTTTCACGCCTCTTGGACTGCTCCGCTCTACGGGTTTTGGACACCACAATTGTCACAACGTGGGCCCCTAGAGGTGACGACCCATTCCCAGGACCAGTTTTTCATCCCGAGTCCTTTTTTGACGGTCCTGGGGCCCGTCGAGGGCTCCCAGAGGCCGAAAACATCTAAAAACCTTCTGCAGTCACTTTTCCACGACGCGAGCATGCCTGGGCCAGCAGGGCACCGACCAACTCGAGCCCGAGAAGGCCGGGCGAGGTGAGCGGCGCGCGGCCGCGCGCCAGGGGCCCGGGGCGCCTCCGGAGCCGATCTATCCCCTTCTATCGCTTCCCCTTGGTTTTCGGGTCATACCTTGGCTTTCCAGCTTGGCCGTTGCTTAGATGGGGGGGCGGGGCAATACAAATGTTGTCCCTTTTTGGGTCAGAGGGTTCTTCAGGTGAACGAGAAATGCACCGTTCTGCGCCCCGCATTTATCGCTGCTCGGTTCCGCAACGTCCGACGAGCAGCCGTTCAGGACGATCCAAGAACCCTCGGAACGCTCTCGCCGAAGCGCCTGCTGGAAAAACAGCCGAGGCTGGAGAACCGCCGGGAAACCGCCGAAAAGTGTCCATTCTTTCCGTATCCATGTCGATCGTACCGACCCTCGAGCCCGAAAAGGCCGCACGACGTGCCGCTGGGCGGCATGCGATTCTGCGCGCCGCGGGCGCCTGGGGCGCCTCGGGAGCCTCAGGGGGCTCCGCCGCCCCGAGGCCGCTCTGCAGCCGCGCTTGCGGCGCTGGCTCGCCGAAGATCTCCAGGCCTCGGCGCGGGCTCTGGGCCGTCGACTCGGGGGCTCCGAAGCCACAGATAAACGAACTGTTTTTCTCCTGAGGGCCTTTCGCTAGAAAGTTCTATCTCCATGGGCCAGATGCTGATAAAACATTGCCAGCTTCCCCACTCAAGGCAAGGGGGGCCACCACGGGCAGCAGTGGCAAGATGAGAAGAACGGAGAGGAGAAGCGGGGGAAGGGAGAAAGGACATGCGCATTGTGTGGACAAGCGCGTTTCGCTGGGAGGTCGCGTGCCAGTGGCAAAATGACAGAAGACTCCCACAGGGGGGACGGGGAGCCCGAGACCGCCCAATCCGGCGGCGGTTTCGCTGGAGACTTCCGCACACTAGATTCAATCATCGTGCAATCGCCTCCGTGCCGGCTACATTTTTGGTCCGGACGGCCACGATCCCAGTGAAAAACCTTACCCGAGACGTACCAAAGCCCTTCTCCACGCGGGGCGCCGATGTACAAGGTGTTATGCACAAGAGCATGTTGCGAGAAATGCAGCACTCTGACATGCTTCGCCAGACAATGTCAGGACTCGCTCGTCAAGGTCTCACCTGATATTTTTTATTTTTCGCCCTCATTTCCGCCACGCCTCCCAGGAGCCCAGGAACTTGACGACGGTTGCCCAGTTCGCAGCCCCAGAGGGAGCCGCGAGTTCTCAAAGGGATCTCCGCTGCCCTGCACCTCCACCGTGCCTCCTTGGAGCCGACGACAGTGGCGACAGCCAGGCAGTTTGCAGCCTCCGACAAAGCCGCGAGGTCTCAGAGCGACCCCCGCCGCCCTGCACCTCCGCCGTGCCTCCCAGAGGCTCACGAAAATGGCGACGGTTGCGCCAGTTCGCAGCCCCTGACGGAGCCGCGAGGTCTCAAAGCGACCCCCGCTGCCCTCACCTCCGCCGCGCCTCCCAGAGGCTCACGAAAAAACCGACAGTTGCGCCAGTTCGCAGCTCCCGATGGGAGCCGCGAGGTCTCAACGTAATCCCCGCTGCCCTCACCTCCGCCGCACCTCCCAGGAGCCCACCAAAGTAGCGACAACTGCGCAGTTCGCAGCCTCCGACGGCCGACGGAGCCGCGAGGTCTCAAAGCGACCCCCGCTGCCCTCACCTCCGCCGCGCCTCCCAGAGGTTCACGAAAGTGGCGACAGTTGCGTAATTCGCAGCCTCCGGCAGAGCCGCGAGGTCTGAGAAGGATCCCCGCTGCCCTCACCTCCGCCGTGCCTCCTAGGAGCCGCGAAAATCGCGACTGTTGCGCTAGTTCGCAGCCCCTGGCGGAGCCGCGAGGTCTCAACGTGATCCCCGCTGCCCTCACCTCCGCCGCACCTCCCAGGAGCCCACCAACGTAGGAACTGTTGCGCAGTTCGCAGCCTCCGAGGCAACCGTGAGGTCTCAAAGCGATCCCCGCTGCCCTCACGTCCGCCGTGCCTACCAGGAGCCCGCGAAAGTGGCAACCGTTGTGCAGTTCGCAGCCCCCGACGGAGCCGCGAGGTCTCAAAGCGATCCCCGCTGCCCTCACCTCCACCGTGCCTCCCAGGGTCCCACCAAAGTCCCCGCTGCCCTCACCTCCGCCGTGCGTCCCAGGAGCTCTACGAAAGTGGCGACATTTGCCCAATTCGCAGCCACCCACTAGGAAACGTATGAGCAAGGGAGGCAAGGATGCAGGAGGAGAAGGGAGGAGGAGGCAGGAGGAGGGGGAGGAGGATGGAGACAACAGTGATCTATTCAAAACGAGACCCCAACACAGGAGGGTTGGGAACTAAAGTGCACATGGCCGTGCTCTCACCCCTGTTCGCAGCCGACCTCTTTCTCCTCGACCCGCCTCTTCACCTTTGCTGCTATTAGGGTGCTTTGCTAGGGTATTGTTCTCAATCCTGCCACTTCTTTTCGAATTCGGCCCCTGGGGGCCGTCATTGGACCTCGGCGCAGGCGCGCGGCCGTCGATCCAGGGGTGGGCAGAACCAGGAATTCCCAACACCGAAACATGCTCGGGTCGCGAAAACAAATTTACTGGCGAAGCACTCATCCATTTGCAGTTGTGAGTACCGTCGTTGCGGGTATCGCCTTCGGGGGATCTCCTCATGAGGCCATGAAGTATGCGACGGGTGTGCCGTTATGAGGCGCTGCCTCTGGGGCTTTAGACGGAATCCACGATGGGGCCACGAAACCTGTGAGGGGTGCGCCGCGATGGGGCGTGGCCGCCGCTGGGGCCTTCGGTGGAGCTCCCTATGGAGCGCTGTAATGGGTGGGGAACGCATGCGGACACCGCCTTGGGGCCTCCGGTGGAGGTCCCCATGGGGCCACGAAGCGCTGGGGTGGGGTCCCGCATGCGAACGCCGCCACTGGGGCCTTCGGTGGAGCAGCTCCCTATGGGGCCACGGAATGCTGTGCTGGGCGGGGGAAGCGCATGCGAACACCGCCGCTGGGGTCTCCGGTGGAGCTCCCTCTTGGGTCACGGAACGCTGTACTGGGTGGGGGAAACGCATGTGGACAGTGCCAGTGAAACCTTTGGTGGAGCTCCCTATCATGGGGCCACGAAGCTATGCTGGTTGGGGGAAGCGCATGCGAACACCGCCACTGGGGCCTGGGGTAGAATTCCCTAGGGGGCCACGAAGCGCGCGAGGGTTTGCCGAAATCAGTGGCGCGGACGCATGTGGGCACCGCCACTGGAGCCTTCGGTGGAGCTCCCTATGGGGGCCACGAAACGTGGGAGGGGTGTGCCGAAATGAGCGGCTGGGACGCATGCGGGCGGCGCCACTGGGGTCTTCGGTGGAGCTCCCTCTGGGGCCACGAAAAGGATGTGGTGTGTGCCGGCATGATCGGCTGGGACGCATGCGGGCGGTGCGATTTGGGCCCTCGATGGGGCCACCAAACGTGTGAGGGGTGTGCCGAAATGAGCGGCTGGGACGCATGCGGGCGGCGCCACTGGGACCTCCGGTGGAGCTCCCCATGGGGCCACGAAACATGGGAGTGGTGTGCTGAAATGATCGGCTGGGACGCATGCGGGCGGCGCCACTGGGGCCTTCGGTGGAGCTACCTATGGGGGGCTACGAAACGTGTGAGGGGTCTGCCAGAATGGGCGGCTGGGGCGCATTCGGGCGGCGCCACTGGGGCCTTTGCTGGAGCTCTTAGGGAGCCGCGAAACGTGCGAGGGCTGTGCCGAAATTCGCGCCTGGGACGCATGTGGACGCAGCCACTGGGGCCTTCGGTGGGGCTCCCTGTGGGGCCACGAAACGTGTGAGGGGTGTGCCGACATGGTTCACTGGTGCAGAGGGCAGAGGCACGGATGGGAGGATGGAGGAGCGGGAGGAGGGGGAGGAGGAAGGAGGAGACGCGGGGCGCTGTCTCTTCAAAACGTGGACCCAACACGGCGGAGGTTTTTGGCAATTTCAAACACCTGGTGACCCTTACGGGGCCCTGGGACCATCAAAAAACGACTCGCGGGGTGAACAACCGGTCCTGGATAAAGAGATCTAGACCTCCGGGGGTCCACGTCGTGAAAAATCACGACGCCGTTGGGGGCTCAAAACGGTGCGATGACAGACCGTGCGGGGGCCTCGGAATCCCTAGACATCTCTCACCGCACGGTCCGTCGGTGCGTCGCCGCACCGTTTTGAGACCCTGAAGAGGCCCAGTCGCCCAAGACATCCTCGGACAACGACCCAAGTCTCAACGCCGTGCGGTCACCCCGAACCCTCACTGACGCACCACACGGTGTGTTCACCACACCGCTGGGGCCCCCGAAGAACCCCCTTTGGCAAAACATCTTCTAGTGAAATTTACCGGGGACCAGACCTGCCAGGCACAGGCCCGCCCGAAGTTGCGGCCGCACTGCCGTCTCGAGAACCAGAAAATGGCAATTCGCTACTAATCGACCTGGCAAGGGGGGGTTCTCTCAACCTGCGAATATTTTCTTCATGCGACTGCGCGCATCCAGTCCACTTTGCGTACCCGCCGTGCCCGACTTGACCGTCAAATGCTTTCCAAATGCGCCTGGGTCCCATTGCCTAGAGCAGCTTGCACCTAAGCCGAGAGGCGGCGGACTCAACCTGCGACTTTATGGCGGAAGGGCGGACGACAGGCACTCGCCAGGACGCACGCAGGCCCTGGGGAAGATGCGGGGTCCTGGACATTTTCGTCGCCATTCTTGGGCGCATCCGCTGGGCGCGCCCCGGGCACGTCCTGTTGGGCGTCGGTGTACCCCCTGTCGGTTCGCCCCGCTCCGGCACTGAATCGGATCTTGAGCTCGAGCTGGTTGAGGGCCACGCACGGTTCGACCACAACCAACTCTGGGGCTCTGGGCGAGCCATGCGTCCAGGCAGCTCGAATCAAAGATCCAGACCAGTTCGGTCAGAATTTCGACGCCAAGGACGGCTGGATTCACAACGCAATAAAGCACAACACAATTCAACACAGCATCTGAGTTGCCCCGATGCGCAACACGCAACACGTAGCGTAGTGATGCGGAACTCAACACGTAGATTGAACACGTACGTTTTGAACACGGAAGTTTTGAACACGGCACGTGTTACGTTTCAAAACGTGCGTAGCAGAGCAGCTAAGCACAGCATAGAACAGCACAGTTCATGGCAGCACGGCGCATCCCAGCACAAAGCAGCGCGGCACAGCACAGCACCCAGCAGGGTATCATTACCATTCTTATCCCCAGCGCGTTCACTGCCAATTGCCCAAGTCGGCCTCCCAACTGGGGTCCGAATAGATGGGGTCGGAGGATCGTGCCGCATCGCCGATGCGGCGCGATCCTCCGACCCCGTCTGCTCTGCATGCGTCTGATTCCATCTGGAATATCCCTCGCTGGGCTCGGGGGTCGGTCATGCTTCTTCTTCGGCCCTCCCTGGCGGCCGGCGAGGCTCACCCAGCGGGCCAGCGGCAGCGCCGCTGCCTGCTCCGAGCCCCGGGCCGAGGGCCCCGAGGTCTGGGCCGACGGAGTCCTGGCCGGCCAGAGGGCCCGGCGAACGGCGGCGACGACGGGCGAGGGCGGCAACGACGGCGGATGACGGCGGGCGCGACAACGACGGCGACGACAACGAAGGTGGCGGCGGCAACGGCGGCGACGACGGACGACGACGACGACGGACGAGGGCGGCGACAGCAGCGGCGGCGTTGGCAACGACCATCATGACGGCGACGAGGAGCACCACGACGACAAAGACGGCGGCGGCGGTGACTCCTCTCATCTTTTTTTGGCCTTCGGGAAGACGACGGCAAGAAGAAGGCACATCGGAGGTGGGACACACCGAGGATCTCTGAGAGCAGGCCGGCGGGTCCGAAGGATGTATCGGGCGCGCGGCTGTTCCAGAGCGTCCTGGAACGCTCCGAGAGCGTTCTGGAACGCTCCGAAGGCTCTACCCAGGGGGAAACGGAACGAGGGACCCGGGGGGGAGGGCCAGTGGAGGAGGATGAGACGGTGAGCAGCCTGGGTATCCGAAGGCTCTGAGAGGCGCAGGGGCCCTCTTCAGCAGCCGCGCCTGGACCGAGAGCTTCGAGGCGCCACCGCATCAAACAAAATAACGCTCTGCAGGGTAAGCCGTAGCTTGAAGCGCCTTCACAGCACGGGTATCCTCGCAGACTGCAGTCAGCGCAGGGACAAGAGCATATTAAATGGCGACTTCTCGGTTCCCCTGGCACTGGTGGCAACCCCAGCAAAAGGTGCGAGAATGCCTCGGTCAAATCAGGGCGGAACACCTCGCGCGCGACATCTCCGAGCCCAGAGTTACGAGGATGTCTCAGGCGAAGCTGGCCAGAACAACTCGCGGGAAGCATCCCTGAGCCCGGAGTTGCTGCGAGGATGTCTCGGGCGAAACTGGCGGTGCCACCTTGTGTCTGGGTGTCTGGCGTCTTTGAGCCGAGATGTCTCAAAAGAGATTGGCTGGGCCACCTCGCGCGCGGCATGTCCGAGCCCCGAGCTGCAAGGACGTCTCGGGCGCAACTGGCCAGTCCACCTCGCGTACAGCATCTTCGAGCCCAGCATTGCGAGGATGTCTCGGGCGCAACTGGCCGGATCACCTCGCGCGCGGCATCCACGAGCCCAGAGTTGCGAGGATGTCTCGGGCGGAATTCGCCAGATCACTTCAGGTCAGGGCATATCGGAGCCAAGAGGTGCGAGGGAGGGCAGAGATGTCGATTCTTCACCAGTGCCATCGCCGCCCACTTCTGCCGTGCCCCATCTGAGGTTGGCTCAGGGGCTTCTCCGTGCTCTTCCCTTAAGCATGTGATGCTTCTACCATATTTTTCCACGACGGGCTTCCCAGAAGTCCCGACCCCTTTCCCCAAGGTCGCTTGTCCATCCAACTTATATAATTGGTTGACGGCCTGGGGACCCGCCGTTAAGGGCCCAAAGCGGCCAAAAAACTCCCGTCGTGAACGTGTCACGGCGCGAACATGTCAGGGCAAGCTCCATCGTCCACCTTCTGCCGCCTTTCCCGCCCCCTCCGCCTCCTCCGGGAGGAAGGGGGGGGAGCCTCTAGATGCTGCCCAGCCCCCGAAAGGCACTCAGGAGCCCAGAGACGCCCACAAGACGTCCAGATAAGGGAGGGAACGAAATCATCAGCGACACGCCGCCGTTGATAGGCCGTAGGCGTGTGCCTCCTTCGTTCTTGTCAGACTTCAGCAGGAACACGCTGATGGGTTCTCCCCACGGCGGCGCGTCGTTGATATTGCGTTTGCTCCCCTAGAACTGGGGAGACGTAAGACTCGGATTCGGGGGGCCTCGGGTTGGCATGACGGGGCCGTCAGGAAAACGACGAAGCCTAATCTGAAAATTGACGCGAGCTCTTGCTGCAAACATCCAACGGAAACGGGACGGTGAAAATCAGGACGGGCCCGTCAAAAAGCGTCGGCAAACCCGAGTTCCGGCGAACTTGAGTCTTACGGTTCCCCGATGGACCCCCTCCTTCCTCCTCGTCGCCATGCCCGGCTGACGTGCCCGTGGGCGCGGGGCTCGTCCCGCAGACAGGGTGGCTCGGCCCGATCCGGCCGACCTCACACCCTCGCCTCAGCGAGGCACGGCGCGGCGTTGGGGCCGGGAGGCCCGTCCTCGAAGTCCCCGGACAGGCCGAGCCGCTTCGGCGAATCCTCCACCTGCCAGTTCGCGGGCGAGGATTCGTCCGCCTCGCTTGCGGGCCAGCGGCGACGCAGGCGCAAGCGGGGCTCCCTCCCATCCCCCTCCTTCTGCTGCTGCTGCTGCTGCTGCTGCTGCTGCTGCTGATCCTATACTCCTCCTGCCGCTGCTGAAGGCGTCAAGGTCGCTGTGCGCGACGCCGCCTTGCCCCGCCCGGTGCCGTTGGCACATGGGGCGGGTGACTAAGCGCTGGGTGGAGCACAAGGGAAACGACAGGGAACGGCGGCAGACGACGAGGCGACTTTCCCCCTTCAATGGGAACCGACGCGGGAGGGAACCGTGACCACCCCAAACCAAGGAACAACCCAAAGGCTCCACACAGAAAGGCTTCCCCCTCCTCCTCCTCCTCCTCCTCTTCCTCCTCCTCCTCTTCGCCCTTGCGCTGCGCGAGCGCGAGCCCGCGAGAGACGTCGCGTCTTCTCCACTCCTCCTCCTCCTCCTCCTCCTCCGCCTCCTCCTCCTCCTCCTCCATCACCATCACCATCACCATCACCATCACCATCACCATCACCATCTCCATCTCCATCTCCATCTCCATCACCATCACCATCACCATCACCATCACTACCACCATCATCAGCATCATCACCATCACCATCATCATCAGCAACATCATACTCACCATCATCACAAGCATACTTATCACCATCATCATCACCACCATCATCATTAGCATCATCAACATCAGCATCATCATCATCACCATCATCATCACCACCATCATCATCACCAGTACCATCACCATCACCGTTACCATCACCATCAACATCACCATCACCATCACCATCACCATCACCGTCAACACCATCACCACCATCACCATCACCATCACCATCACAATCGCCATCATCATCATCATCATCATCATCACCATCACCATCACCATCACCATCACCATCACCATCATCATCATCATCATCATCATCATCATCATCATCATCATCGCCATCATCATCACCACCACCATCATCACCACCACCATCATCATCATCATCAGCAGCATCATCATCATCAGCATCATCCTCCTCCTCCTCATCATCATCATCATCAACACGATCAGCATCATCAGCATCATCATAATCCGCCGACCCCCTGTGGGTTTCCAGGCGTGCGAGATAGTTCCCCCCCATAACCCCCCAAGGGACCCCAAACCTGAGATTCGACCTCCCCCCCCGGCCCGGGACCACCCTGGACCGAGCGCGCCATGGAAGGACAGAGGGCCCCAAAACGGGCCAAGACGGTCCAAGAGAACCCAAAGATCGCCCAAGACGCCCAAGATGGCTCCTAGACGCCCAAGATGGCCCCAAGACGGCCCTACCGGCCGCCAAATCGCCCCAAGAGGCCTCTCAAGAGGGCCCCACGAGGCGACCAATATTGATTTCCCTGTCTTTTTTCTACATGTTTGGGGTTCTCGACCTTGCGGCTTTCCGCTGCTCCAAGACCGCCTAAGACGGCCCCAACACCCCTCCAAGACGGACCAAGAAGCCCCCAAGACAGCCCAAGAGGGCCCCCAACGGCCCAAGAGGCTCAAGACGGCCCAAGAGGCTCTCAAAAAGAAGCCCAGAGAGGCCCAAGATGGGGACCAGGAGCTGACAAATCTAGCCTTCCGCCCCAAAACGCACCCAGGACAAAACGACCCTGACCCCCTCGCCACCACCACGCCACCACCAAGTCACCACCAGGTCCGACCCCCGCACCCTCGCACCCTCCTGGGAGCTCTGTCCTTGGGACCCCCCGCCCGACAATTCCGCGCCCAGAGCCGACCCTGACCCCCCACCACGCCAGCACCACGCCACCACCACGTCACCACCACGCCACCACCTCGCCACCACCAGGTCCGACCCCCGCACCCTCGCACCCTCCTGGGAGCTCTGTTCTTGGGACCCCCCACCCAACAACTCCGAGCCCAGAGCCGACCCTGACCCTCCACCACGCCAGCACCACGCCACCACCACGTCACCACCACGCCACCACCAAGTCACCACCAGGTCCGACCCCCGCACCCTCGCACCCTCCTGGGAGCTCTGTTCTTCGGACCCCCCACCCGACAATTCCACGCCTGGAGCCGACCCTGACCCCCCAACACGCCAGCACCCCATCGCCACGTCACCACCACGCCACCACCTCGCCACCGCCAGGTCACCACCAGGTCTGACCCCCGCACCCTCGCACCCTCCTGGGAGCCATGTTTTTCCCCACATGCTTCGTGGGGTTCTGGTTTTCTTCCCTGCCGCGTCGCACCCGCGTCTCACCTCACACCTCCCCTCCTCCTCACAGCACCGCTCGGAGTGGCACTTTCTCGACACCAGAGAGGGTGCGCAGGGGCTGGTCTCTCACCGCGGCGTCTATGCGTGCCAGGGTCGGAGAGCGTGGCAGGCGTGGCACTTTCTCGACACCAGGGGGGGTGCGCAGGGGGTGGTCTCTCACCGCGGCGTCTATGCGAGCCAGGGTCGGAGAGCGTGGCAGGCGCGGCATTTTCTCGACACCAGAGAGGGTGCGCAGGGGGTGGTCTCTCACCGCGGCGTCTATGCGAGCCAGGGTCGGAGAGCGTGGCAGGCGTGGCACTTTCTCGACACCAGAGAGGGTGCGCAGGGGGTGGTCTCTCACCGCGGCGTCTATGCGTGCCAGGGTCGGAGAGCGTGGCAGGCGTGGCACTTTCTCGACAGCAGGGGGGGTGCGCAGGGGGTGGTCTCTCACCGCGGCCCCTATGCGTGCCAGGGTCGGAGAGCGTGGCAGGCGTGGCACTTTCTCGACACCAGAGAGGGTGCGCAGGGGCTGGTCTCTCACCGCGGCGTCTATGCGTGCCAGGGTCGGAGAGCGTGGCAGGCGTGGCACTTTCTCGACACCAGGGGGGGTGCGCAGGGGGTGGTCTCTCACCGCGGCCCCTATGCGTGCCAGGGTCGGAGAGCGTGGCAGGCGTGGCACTTTCTCGACTCCAGGGGGGGTGCGCAGGGGGTGGTCTCTCACAGCGGCGTCTATGCGTGCCAAGGTCGGAGAGCGTGGCAGGCGTGGCACTTTCTCGACACCAGGGGGGGTGCGCAGGGGGTGGTCTCTCACCGCGGCGTCTATGCGTGCCAGGGTCGGAGAGCGTGGCAGGCGTGGCACTTTCTCGACAGCAGGGGGGGTGCGCAGGGGGTGGTGTCCCTATGCGTGCCAGGGTCGTCCAGGCATTGCAGGCGTGGCATTTTCTCAACACCAGAGGGGGTGCGCAGGGGGTGGTCTCCCTATGCGTGCCAGGGTCGTCCAGGCATAGCCTCTAGTGCGGGATTGCGTATTACCTCTCGTATCCAAGTGCCAGGCGACGCCGGATATGACCGTCACAGATGACTCCTCAACCCCTCCTCTCCCCCCACACGTCCTCCCCCTCCTTTCAACGACCACAGGGGGCACCTGAGAGCATGACGGCGGTGGTAGTGGTAGCGCGGTTCACACAAGACATAAAATCAGTATGTGGGGTTCCTCGGTAGCGTAATTGGACCCCCCACCCGTCAATTCCGCGCCCGGAGCCGACCCTGACCCCTTACCACGCCAGCGCCACGCCACCAACAGGTCACCACGAGGTCACCACCACGCCACCACCAGGTCACCACCAGGTCCGACCCCCGCACCCTCGCACCCTCCTGGGAGCTCTGTTCTTCGGACCCCCCACCCGACAATTCCGCGCCCCGAGCCGACCCTGACCCCCCAACACGCCAGCACCGCGCCACCACCACGTCACCACCACGCCACCACCTCGCCACCACCAGGTCACCACCAGGTCTGACCTCCGCACCCTCGCACCCTCCTGGGAGCTCTGTTCTTGGGACCCCCCACCCGACGATTCCGCGCCCGGAGCCGACCCTGACCCCCCACCACGCCAGCACCACGCCAGCACCACGCCACCACCTCGCCAGCACCAGGTCACCACCAGGTCCGACCCCCGCACCCACGCACCCTCCTGGGAGCTCTGTTCTTGGGACCCCCCCCCGTCAATTCCGCGCCCGGAGCCGACCCTGACCCCCTACCACGCCAACACCACGCCACCACCAGGTCACCACGAGGTCACCACCACGCCACCACCACGCCACCACCAGGTCACCACGAAAATTAAAACATGCTCCAAAAATCCCCCCAAATGGTCAAACAACAAATCGCAACATCGTCCCCCGACTATTTCTTGCCTATTTCTGCATATTTCTCCTGTAGAAGGACGTGCTCGACTTAATACAAGGGCACCCTTTCCGCCGCGCTCGCTGCCCCTCCAATCGTTGCCCCCCGTGGCGCGTCCTTGGAGTTTCAGGCTCCGGAATATCACTTGGAAGGGTTCCGGGGTGTTCCAGACACCCTGATACTCCCTGAGATCCGACGCAACGAAATTACCATGTGACGTACCCAACCCATTTGTATCAATGGAAACGAGGAGTTGGCCGAAACTTGCATGGACAATTAACTTGATGTGTAAGCTACTTGGGACACGCGCCTATGGCATGATGCGCAGGAGAACCATACAAGAACGAGGGGCGAAGGCTACAGGCTCGAAGAGGACATGGGGAGTCGGGAACGCAGAGCAAGAGAAAAACGTGCGGGAAGCCGAACCATCAGCACGGCAGCAGCAGAGGGAAGGTGACTGCAGGAGGAGAACAAGGACGAAAGCCGCGTCTAATTTGAGTCTGCGGTGGGTACCCACTGTGCTGTGCCCCTCAGCAGCCCTCGAAAGTGGCGACAGCTTCACAAATCGCAGCCCCCCAGGGATGGCGAGGTCTAGTTTGAATCTGCGGTGGGTACCCACTGTGCTGTGCCCCTCAGCAGCCCTCGAAAATGGCGACTGTTTCACAGACCGCAGCCCCGCAGGGATGGCGAGGTCTAATTTGAGTCTGCGGTGGGTACCCACTGTGCTGTGCCCCTCAGCAGCCCTCGAAAGTGGCGGCAGCTTCACAAATCGCAGCCCCCCAGGGATGGCGAGGTCTAACTTGAGTCTGCGGTGGGTACCCACTGTGCTGTGCCCCTCAGCAGCCCTCGAAAATGGCGACTGTTTCACAGACCGCAGCCCCGCAGGGATGGCGAGGTCTAATTTGAGTCTGCGGTGGGTACCCACTGTGCTGTGCCCCTCAGCAGCCCTCGAAAGTGGCGACAGTTTCACAGATCGCAGCCCCCCAGAGATGGCGAGGTCTAATTTGAATCTGCGGTGGGTACCCACTGTGCTGTGCCCCTCAGCAGCCCTCGAAAGTGGCAACAGTTTCACCAATCGCAGCCCCCCAGGGATGGCGAGGTCTAATTTGAATCTGCGGTGGGTACCCACTGTGCTGTGCCCCTCAGCAGCCCTCGAAAGTGGCGACAGTTTCACCAATCGCAGCCCCCCAGGGATGGCGAGGTCTAATTTGAGTCTGCGGTGGGTACCCACTGTGCTGTGCCCCTCAGCAGCCCTCGAAAGTGGCGACAGTTTCACAGATCGCAGCCCCACAGGGATGCCGAGGTCAAAGGCAGGGGGGAAGAGAGGGACGGGATGGGGGTGGGAAGGAGACGCGCGATCAGTGCTCTATTCAAAACGAGAACCCAACGCAGGAGGGTTGGGACAAAAATGCAACATCTGAACAACGAAAGCGTCTGGAGCTCTGGACCCCATCTTTCTGCGTCATTGTTCGAGCCGGATTGATCTGCGAGGGTCCCAGGGCCCGGAAAACGTCGGGAACGGCTGGCTCGAAAATATTCAGCCGCCAGGATCTCAGGGCTCATGTTGTCCACTTCCAAAAACACACACTGGAACGCTTCTGGGGCCCCGGCCCCCAGGTTTTGGCCAGGCAAGGAGGTGTTTCTTGGCGTGGGTTTCCACTGTAGGGCTCCTGAGAGCGGCCCAGATGCAAAGTCCCCGCTTCAGGTTCGAATTTAAACCCCGGAAAAATTCCAAGGTGTTTTTGGAAACTGAAGCGGGTGGCTGCCGGCTGAAAGGCCGCCGAAAGACATCCGCAACGGCGCCAACCGCCCGGACTGTGGAAGTATCGCCACCCCAGCGCTGCCCAAGAGACCGCCCATAGAAGCCCATGACGGCCCCCCAAATGGCCCACGAGTACGAACACAAACCACAAGTCGTAACGTTCCGCCCCGTGAAGCCCCCAGAAGGCCCCAAAAAGCTCCCCAGCAGGCCACTACAAGAAATCCGCGATGCAACGCAGAATCTAGACACTCAACAGGAACCTTCCTGCCGTGCTTGGAAAAGTACCCCGACCACTAACGAATCCAACATTCGTCGCTCTATTGGGGTCGGCGGCAGAGGCGGCAGCCTTTAAATCCGGCCGCTCCCGCCCTGCGGTGTGGGCCGTGCGAGACCTCTCTGACAAAGTGTTCGGCACTATCTTTCCCCTTCCTTCGCCAGTGGCTGGTCAAAGCCCTCCTGAAAGTCCCTCCGAGGGGGCCCCACTCTGCCGGCGGACCCCCCCTCCCTGAACAGTTCTGGCGCCCGGGAGCGATTCAAGAGCGCCCTAAAACGGGCCAAGAGAGCCCCAAGACGGCCCAAGCGAGTCTCCAGACGGCTCCAGATCGCTCCCAGACGCTAAATATGGTCTCCAGACGGCCCAAGACGCCTCCAAGACGCCGCAAGAGGGCTCCGACAGCACCCCTGACAGGGCCACAAGAGGTAAATTTCATTCATTTTTCGATGTTTTTTTAATAGTTCTTCGGCTTCCAACAATTTGGGCTTCCAGACGCTCCAAGACGGCGCACGAGGCCCCCAAGACCGCCCTAAGACGGCCGAAAAGCCCCCCAAGAGAGGTCCAGGACGGCCCAAGAGGGCACCAAGACAGCCCAAGAGGCCCCCGGGACGGCCCACGAGGGCCCCAGGACGGTTCCAACAGAGGGCCCAGAGGGGGAACCTCAACGGACATTCCGACTTTCAACTCCCAAAAAGCCTTCAGGAGGGCCTCAGGGGCTCCCAGGAAGCTCCCAAGAGGCCCCAAGAGAGCTCCAAGAGGCCCCCAAGAAGCCCCCAGGAGGTCCATGAGGACTCCGTCCGACCCAAATCCCAAGCACGGTGGCGGGATGGGGCGACGGCTATTTGATAGCTGGCATACGCGCCGCGTCACGACTTTCGATGCTGCGCACCTCCTCGAAAAACTCCCAGGGAGCGGCCGGTGATGCGCCGCCGGCGTCCTCGATCCGGCCGCTCCCGCCCTGCGGTGTGGGCCGTGCGAGACCTCTCTGACACAGTGTCTGGCACAGTCTTTGGCCCCCTTCTCCAGTCTGGTCAAAAACCTCCTGAAAGTCCCTCCGAGGGGGCCCCACTCTGCCGCCGGCCCCACTCTGCCGCCGGCCCCCTTGAAGGTCTCAAACGGCCCGGGGACGACCCAAGGGCGCCCCAAGCCGGTCCAAGAGAGTCCCGAGCAGTCCAAGAGAGCCTCCAGACGGTTCCAGATCGCTCCAAGACGCGTAAGATGGCCTCCACACGGCCCAAGACGCCTCCAAGACGGCCCAAGAGGCCTCCAAGAGCACCCCCAAGACAGCCCCGAGAAGCAAACATCATTGATTTTTCAATGGTTTTTGAAGGATTTTCACGTTCACGCCATTTCGGCTTACCCACGCTCCGCGACGGCCCAAGAGGCCCCCAAGATCGCCCCAGGACGGCCCAACAGGCCCCCAAGACGGCCCCAAGACGGCCCAAGAGGGCCCCAAGACCGCCCAAGAGGCCCCCGGGACGGCCCAAGAGGAGCCCCAGGATGGCCCCAAGAGGAGGCCCAGAAGGGGTACCCGAATGAACATGTCGAGCTTTCGGCTCAAGAGGCCCCCAGGAGGCCCTCAGCGGCCCCCTGGAGGCCCCCAACAAACTCCAAAAGAGCCCCAAGAGGCCCCAAGAGGGCCCCCAGAGGTCTCCAAGAAGCCCCTGGGACGCCCCCAAGAGGCCCCTAAACTGCCCCGCAGAAGCCCCCGAGAGCTGTCCGAAGAGACTCCTGCAAGCGTCCATGAGGACTCTGAGCCACAACCCAGGCAAGGTGGCGGGATCACTCCCAGACGCCGAAGATGGCCTCTAGAGGCCCTCACGCGCCTTCAAGGCGTCCCAAAAAACCTCAGGCCCCCAAGAGGGCCCGAAGCAGTTCCCAAGAAGCTTCCAGGAGGCTCCCCAGAGGCTCCTAAAATGCCCCGCAGAGGCTCCCGAGAGCTGTCCGAAGAGACTCCTACAAGCGTCTAGACGGACTCGAACCCACAACCCAGGCAAGGTGGCGGGATCACTCCAAGACGCCGACAAACTCTCAGGGAGCGGCCAGTGATGCGCCGCCAGCGTCCTCGATGAAGATATACCACCATCAAGGAGGGGAAAGTCGCACATTGTGAAACTTTCCCCTCCTTGATGGTTCTGCCGCGTCGCCGCCTTCATATGGGCGAGCCGACGTCCCCAGGGTGGTCCCGCAGCTGCTGACCGTACTCCAAGTTGACACGACGCTCGAATTGGTCATGGCGCAGAGCTTGGTCTGCAATGAGGCGCGGATGATCAGGCAGTCTTTGCGGGGACTGCCAGGAGAAGAACACTGCCCGATTAGCCGACATCGCAGGCGTCCAGGCCAGAGCATAGCAGGACATATGCCGGTCCAGTTGATCCGCGGCGTGCTGGTTCAGGAAAATGTGGTCCAGGCGCGAGCGGGCGCTCGCTGAGGCGTTGGTGTGCTGGTCCTGGTGCATTTCGTTCTGGCCGCAGGCGCCCCCAGCACCAACTGGAAATGGCGCTACTTACCATGGTCTCGACCACTGGAGCAGCGAGACATAGTGAGGGACTGCCTGCTGGTCTCCTCCGCTGCGTAGTTGAAGTCGCCTCCCAATGCCGTCAAGGCACTCCTGGAAGGTACGAACCAGCTTGCAATCCGAGAGCGTAAACAAGCGCGGAGGCCCGAGGAACTGTGCACCTGGAACGTTCATGTGGGTGGACGTCGTGAAGATTCATCTCGGTAAATCAGCGACCACAGAGCCCAAGGCCCCCGAGCCCCCCCCCCGGAGGGACAACTTAGCCGCTCTGCCTCTCCAGATGACTGTTCAGGCTGTACCTGGGTCGAAGTGCTCGAGGAACGAATTCATGACGACGATGCCCACTCCCGCATGTCCCGCAGTCTGACTCTGGTTACGATTATGAAGAGGAGGGGGTCACAGACGAAGAGGGCGAGACGATGTATGACAGGTGGGTAAGTCGACGAAGAGGACTTGATCAATATAGGAAAGGAGGAGGCCGAGGAGGAGGATGTGGGAGGAGGAGGAAGAGCACATAATAGGATGAAGATGAGGGGAAGGAGGGAGGGTGAGTGCAAGGACGAGAATACGAGAGCATCGGGCCGCCATCAGATCCTTCCAGTCGAAGCCCGAAGAGTCCTGGTGTCCGTGGGTAAGGGGGCGACATGAAGGGGAGGAGGTCAAGGCCTTCCTTATCCTCATTTTCCTACCTGTCATACTCCTGCTCATCCGACACCTCCAATGTACGCGCTCCTCCTCCAATTTGCGCAGCTCCCCTGTTCCGATTGCGCAAAACACGATGAGGTCCTTGTTTGAGTTCCCCGTGCGCGGATGGAGAAAACAACGCAATGGAAAGGGATGGTTGGGAGGGGTAGGATGTCAGATAGAGTGCGAGCGCACCCAGCCTGTCCCCCTCCTCGCCTTCTTCTTCCCTCGCTTGACGCAAGTTTCTACGATCTTTCAATTTCACCACGGCTTGGCAGTGGCTGCCTTCGCCGTTGATCGCTCCGTACATACATCCCTCCCTCGGTCCCTCGTCGCCATCCCTTCTCGCTATTTTCCTCCTTCGCTCTCTCCCTGAAGGGGAGGAAGAGGGACGAGGTGGGGGGAAGGGAACAAGGGGAGAAAACGTTGGGAGAAGGCACCAGGGGGTGGGGGGGCGGCGAGAGATGGTAGGGGATGAGCCGGAACCGGGAGGGTGGGGGGCTGTTGGTCAGGAATGCGAGCTCTACAAGTCGCAGTCCTCTTGCAATAGAGCGTCGTTGAGGCCAGCCTGACACTACACCGAGCCTCCACGAAGGCTCCTTCTCTCTTCTTACTCTTCCTCAGCCTTTTCATCCGCTGTCTCTTTTTACTGCTACTGTTTCTGGTGACCCATCTCTACTAAGACTACAGCCTCACGCTCACGCTCCACGCAGCGGCACAAACAAGCTTAGACCAATGAGCTGCCTCTCTGCAACATGACCCGTGACCCTTCCGAGGAGGTGAAGATTCACAAGCGAAAACACGCAAGATTGGGTGGCTTCAGGGAAGCTGGATGATCCGCACGCGCAGCCTGCAGGCCGATTCGTCTACGCTGTTCCTGGATGTTGGCTGTTAGCCGCGAGGCGGCTCGGAAACTAGAGGTGGGGAGGCGGACCAGGACGAATGATAGAGGAGAGGGAGGATGGGAGGAGGCGGATCAGGACAAGGAATAGACGTAGCCTGAGGCGCGCCGATCCATTCCGAAGGAGAGAGGCCAGCGCGAGGGATGTACTGGGAGGCCCACGCAACCCGACCGAGGACCGACCGCCGCGCGAGGCGAATACCGAGGGGCCGGTGCGAGGCGAGCGCCGGGAGGAGCAGCACGAAGAGAAGCAAATGGTCCCTCAGAATTGCGACGTTTCGCCAATCGACTTGTGGGGATCAAGCCGGACGAGTCAAGGTCTTAGATGCAGAGAAATCGAGGAATCCTGGTCAACCTAAATCCAGAGATCTGCAAGGAATTTTTGAACAACTCGTGGCCGCCCCAGCGCGAGACGAGGGACAGCAGAAGTCGTTAAGCCCTTGGCGAGATGGAGACGAGGGAAGGTGGCCAGGACACCTAACTTCGCAGCTAGCGCCCCGAAATGCGTGATTTTCTTCACGCCCTCGTGCCCTCGCGCCGCCCCCCTGGGAGACGGGCAACCGCTCTGGCCCAGACCGCGACGCGCGAAGCGCGATAGTCCTCGCGCCCCCGCGGGGGACCTAAGAGGTGCCTGGTCGTGAGCTGGCACCTCCGGCCAGCCCGCTGCGCAAGTGGCCGCGGCGGGGCGGGTCGTGTGCCCGAATTTCCGCGCACATCCGGCCATGCCAGATCATGACCGGTGCTTCTGCCGAGCTCTTGCGAGTCTGAAAGCCCCCTCCCTGGCGCGCTCCGCGCGCTAGGGGCGGCGCTGGAGGCGCCGCCAGGCGTGTCCAGCGTAGATCCACGAAATCCGCATGGAACTCCGAATGTTGAGGTTCGATTCTATTCGGTCCTTTCTTCGATGGCCCCAGGGATGCCCCCGCGAGGCCCCGAGATGACCCCACAGCCGCACGATGGCGCAGCAAGAGGAGGAGGAAGAGGGGCCGGTGGCAGAAGGCGCAACCCCGCGGACAGCGCCACGCCTCGCTCCCAGGAGCCAGCTGCGAGATGCTGAAAGTGGCCATGCAGGAGCAAGGGAGGAGGGAGGACAGGTGCGGAGACGTGTGCGCACCTGGCCTCCCATGAGAGGAAAACGAACAGCGGCATAAACATAAACTTTCGGAACTCCGCGCGGATTTCTCGGATCGGCGCTGGACCCCCCCCCCTCCCTGGCTCGCGGAGCGCGCCAGGTGCGGCGCAGGAGGCGCCACCAGGGGGTCCCTGCGCTGATCCAAGAAGTCAGCTCTGAGCTCCGGAAGTTTATGTTCATGTAGTTTTATGTCCCTCTTCTTTGCATGTGTGCACCTGGCCCCCGTCGGCAAAACCGCCTCGATGCGATCGCTTCGTGCACGTGTCGCCTTGGCACAACAGATTCCCCCTCGGGGCCGCAGCACGTGCCAGGAGTGCGGAGCCTCGGGGTACGAGCATGACTGTCGCACATTCGGACAAGCACAAGCGCCTCTCTGCCGTCGTTCAGCACGTTCCAGAAAGGGCCTCGCCTTCGACAATCGAAGGAGTTGCCATCTCTTCCTCGGCGGAAGGCGGCGGAAATTTGGCGGAAGCTGGCGGAAGTAAAACGGGGCCGCCTCCGCCAGCGGAAGGCGGCGGACGTAAAACATGCGTTCCCAAGAGATGACAACATGTTTGGGTTCAGGTATTCTGGACTCGGTCAATGGCTTGATTCCAGGAGGCAACCGCTGGGACGGCTACTTTGTGTTCGCGTCGTCGGCTGCACTCTGTCGATGATGCCAGCGCTGACACGCACGGAGTCACGCCTGCAGTGGGGCTGGGTTCTCAGATGCAGATTTCTTACAACGTTCCCCAATTAGGCCTACCTAAGGGGTTCTTACTTGGTTGAATGTTGGTGATTCGGGTGGCTACTTTGCCCGTTCCTCGGAGGTTTCCTGGGTTCCTCTGGTTCCCAAGGTTCGTCGCCGTCGGTGCCTCCGATTCTTACGTTGCCCGTTCCGCGGAGGTTCCCCGGGTTCCTCGGATTCCCCAGGTTCCCCAGGTTCCGCGGGTTCCTCGGCTTCCTTGTTCCTCGGGTTCCTCGGGTTCCTCAAGTTTCTCGGGTTCCAAGCAATGCCAAGCGATACCAAGCAATGCCAACCCATACCAAGAAATGCCAAGCGATGCGCCCAACGAAGCGCCCATGCAATAAGCTTTCCCCTAATCACGGGGTCGCGCCGGGTTCATTGACTATCATGCTCGAAATTTTCAGGGGGCGAGCACGACTCGAATATCGCAAATGAGGTAAGCGCAAGTGGTCTCTCGCCTGCTTTTTCGACGCGGATACAGCGGCGGAAACTTTTAAAGGACAAGCAAAAACGCCAAGGACTGCACACCCTGACGACTGACGACGTCGTCCGGAGGCCTCTGCAGGTCTCCTGGGGTCCCTGGAGGCCTGCCAGAAGCCCCCTGCAGGGGCTCGAGAGGGGTTAGACTCATCCAGAAACCTCGGTCCGGGGGGGCAGCGATATACGGCGTGACCAACTCAGGGGGGGAAGCATCGAGCTGGAATTGGCGACACATCGCCGATAGATCGGCGATGAGGCCCACGATAGCGAATCCGCACGTTCCTAGGCGGGGCGGGCCATCTGCCCCCCATCGGCCATGAGTGGGCGATCGGAGGTCGATGCGTCCCCCCCGGCCTACCACCCACTAAAATGAAGCTGCTGCCAGTGAGGAACGCTCAGCAAGGAGCGAAGCCATTTTTTGGCATCAGAGGAGCCTGGGTGCACGAGGAGGACCAGAAGAACAACCACGGAATGGCCTAAGGAACAGCGAGCCCACTCCGAACCCAAAGCGGTCCTTATTCAGCGTCTTGACCCTATCGTTGCCCCTGAAGCCCTCGAGCCCCGAACCTCGCCGGCAGCGACGGTGCACTGCGGCGGGCGGCTGCTGGGCGCCCGCCCAACCGCTCCTCGAAGTCGGTGGCCGGACCCACGCAGAGGGGCACGGGCAGAGGCCTCGCGGGCCCCCCGGGCCGGGGGCTGCGCCGGGCTGGTGCCTACGGCTCTCGGGCATCGGCTACAGCCATCGTGCTACCATCAGGAACGCCAGATAAGTTACAGGGGGGCTTTTCTGGCCGCGGCGAGTCTCGGCCACGAAGAAGTTTCCTGGCCTAAATATGAGGAGCGATCTGAAAGTCAGAGCCCCTCCTGAGCCCAAAGTGGTCCTTATTTCAACGTCGACTGTACGGCGAGCGCACTGGATAAGGAACCGCTGGATGAGGAGTCCAGGGTCTGGAAGCCAGTGGAACTCCAACTGAGGCCTGGCCAATGGGGATCACCGCCGCCCTGCGCGGTATCCTTCGCGCCCTCGCGAGGCCACCTTGGGGAAGGGCAGATCTCCGGCACAGGCCGCGAAAAGGCGCGAAGCGCGATTACGGTCGGGAACTGTTGCTTAGCGTGTCGCGGCGGCGGCCCTGGCGACACGCTGTGCTCTGCAAGGTGATAGCGCGTCGCTCCGCTCCTCGGGGCATGAGGTTTGGCGAGGCTCAGGATGTTGATGCCTGCGGACTTGGACGTCGTTAGCGTGTCGCGCCGAGGCGTCGTGGGCCAGACCCAGCGCCACGACACGCCAAGCAATACACATTTGACCGTATGTCGGTCGCTTTCGGAAGGTTCTGGGGCGCGCCTGGCCCTCTTCTGGCCTCTGGAGGCCTCTGGTGACGTGCCAGGCCTCGGGACCCGGGGCGGGAGCACGACGCAAGGTACTGTGAGGGCGAACCCTTGGATAAGGAATCTATATATATATATATATAATATATATATATATATATATAAGGAATCTATATGTGGGTCTCTAGGCGTGTGAGATAGTTCCCCCCCCATAATCCCCCCCCAGGGACCCCAAACCGGAGATTTGACCCCCCCCCCCCGGGCCCAGCACGAGCGCGCCACGGGGCTCTTTTGGGCCCAAAAGGGGATCAAGACGGGCCCAGAAGGCCCCAAGAGGCCTCTAAGACGGCCCACGAGGGCCCCGAGACGCCAAACGAGCGCTCCCAGACGCCCAAGATGGCCCCAAGACGAGCCTAGAGGCCTCCAAGACGGCCCAAGAGGTCCCCACGAGGCCCCAAGAGGCCTCCAAGATGCGCCCCAAGAGGGTCCCTAGACGCAAAAATTGGCCCATTCCCTTCGTAAAACGTATAATTTTCACAAATTCGCTTTCTGGGCTTTCCGACGCTCCAAGACGGCCCAAGAGGCCCCGAAGACCGCCCCAAGACGGCCCAAGAAACCCCCAAGAGGGTCCCAAGATAGCCCAAGAGGGCCCCAAGACGGCCCAACAAGCGTCCAAGACGGCCCAACAGGGCCCCGAAAAGGGCCCCAAGAGCGCTCCAGGAGCGCCCCAAGTGGCCTCCAAGAGAGCTCAATATGGTCCCAGACAGCCCAAGAGCGATCAAAGACACCGAAGATGGCCTCCTGACGGCCCAAGATGCCCCCAAGAGGCCCCAAGAGGCATCCAAGATGCGTCCCAAGAGGGCCTCTAGACGCAACAATTAGCCCGTTCCCTTCGTAAAGCGTGCGTTTGTTTCACAAATTCGCCTTTCGGGCTTTCCGACGCTCCCAGACGGCCCAAGAGGCCCCCAAGACCGCCCCAAAACGGCCCAAGAAACCTCCAAGAGGGCCCCAAGACAGCCCAAGAAGGCGCTAAGACGGCTCAGGCGGCGCCGAAGACGGCCCAAGAGAGCCCCGATGACGGCCCCAAGAGCGCTCCAAGTGGCTTCCAAGAGAGCTCAACATGGTCCCACACGGTCCAAGAGCGATCGAAGACACCCGAAATGGCCTCCAGATGGCCCAACACGCCCCTGAGAGGCCCCCAAGATGCGTCCCAAGACGGTCCCTGGACGCAGACATGTACGTATTCCCGTCGTGAAACGTACAATGTTCACACATCCGCCTTCTGGGCTTTCCGACGCTCCTAGACGGCCCAAGAGGCCCCGAAAACCGCCCCAAGACGGCCCAAGAGGCCCCCAAGACGGCCCCGCGACGGTCCACTATGGCCCCAAGACGGCCCAAGAGGTCCCCAAAACGGCCCAAGAAGGCTCCAAGACGGCACATAGAGGGGCCCAAGAGGGCAACCAACAATTCAAAAATCTAGCTTTCCGCCCCCACGAACCCCAGGGGGCCTCAAGAGTGACCCAACAGGCCGCCAACGGCCCTCAAGAAACCGCCAAGACGCCCCAAGGAGCCCACAAGAGGCCCCCAGGAGGCCCCCAAAAGACCCCCAGACGCTTCCGTATTGCGAGCCGTCACGCCAACTGCAATGCACTCCGCGCATACAACCTTACTCTTCCTCGCGACGTGCTCACTATCTTGCTCGGCGCTAATGTGCTGCTGCCGCGCGAACTGTTTCGTGCGCGCTGCGAACGTCAACGGCCTCTTCACCCGTTTCGATTCATCTGCCACATCTTTCGCTGTGATGCTTCGCTGATCACAGCTTCCACACACTACTCTTGCTCCTTTCGTCTTCCAGTGCTCCTCCACTTGGTTGCGGGTCGAAAGGCCGACCTCCCAGAAGGACACCCCGCACCCGGGTGCACAGCACGCAAAGCGCTCGCAAAACACGCCCCAGACCACCGGCATCACGCAAACATTTGGACCCCCTACGTATCTGCCACCACCCGCGCGCGACACCGCACCCTCACACAAGACGCCGCTGGCCAGAAACTCCTGGCCTCGCAACACTCACAGAAGGGGTCGGCGGATGTGGCGTAAGCCTGTAGAGTCTATATATATATATATATATATATATATAAGGAATCTATATCGGGCTTGAAAAACAATGGAACGCCAACCGATGCTGGCCATGGATATCACCGCCGCCTCAATCAGCAAGCCTCCTGGGCGCATTCCTTTACGAACGCCCCCACAGCACCTCAGTCGGGGCGGGGCGGAGGGAAGTGCCCCCATCCCTCCAGCAAAGATCGCGACGGTGGGCTTCTCTTCAGTCGGGCCTCGAGAAGCCCTTTTCAAGCCCTGCGGCCATCAAAACTGGCCTGGGGACGGGGGGCCCACGCTGCAACAGAAAGACCATGACGACGGTTGTCTCAGTCTGGAGTGGAGGGGCAAGCAGGGGTCCTCCTCCTCCTCCTCCTCCTCCTCCCTCCTGGTCCTCCTCCTCCTCCTCCTCCTCCTCCCTCCTGGTCCTTCACCTCCCTGCCTCGCTCCGTTCCTGCCTCCCTCTCCCTCCCTTCCTGCTGCTGTTACGTCGTCCCTCGTCAGTCCCCCCTCTTTCGTCCTCCCTGCTCCCTCATCCCCCTTCGACCCCCCCCCTCCCCCCCTTCCACCTCACCCTTCTCTTCGCCCTCCCTCTGTCGCTCACTGCCACCCTTCCCGTCGTCCTCAATTTCATAGTCGTCGTCCTCCTCCTCTTCCTGCTCCTCCTCCTCATCCTTCACCGTCTGCCTCCTCCTCCTCCTCCTTCTCCTCCTCCTCCTCCTTGCTCCCCCTGTTTCTCCGGCCTCCGCTTCGTCGTCTTGTGTTGTTCCGTTCCATTCCATCAAGTCCGCCCCGCTTGATCACTGTAGCCACATTCTCGTCTTTCTTCCGGCAACCGTTCTGCACCTCGATAGTTCCATAATGCCATCCAATCCTCTCGCTCGTGCCGCTAATCCTCGCAGCTCTACAAGCCTGCTTGCCACGGTAATGCATTCAACTTATCATCCCATGTCGTCTCATCCTGTTCCTTGCGCTGTATTTCAACGGCTCTATCTCGCATGCGCTGCCCTGTTGACCCCACATGCGTCGACGCTGCTGCTGCTCGTTTGCCCTTTGCTCCTTTCATGTTGCGTTTCTGTCGAAGTTCGGTCTACTTACAGCTCGTCCGCGCGCAGCTTCTGGCTCATGCGTCCCTCGCGCCGATGGAGATCCACTGCTGCCTGCGATGCCTATCTACACAGCATCGTGCGACGATATGTGCTGAACTCGGCCATCAGCCCTGCTCCTCTTCTTCGTCTTCCTCCTCCTCCTCCTCATTCCCGAACGCAGAAACGTTGCACAACCAAGTCGCCATGCAATGGAATCGAGCACGCTCGAATGCCACCTGATGCCGCGATATCGGCCGTAACAGCGAGGGCATTGAAGCATCCTTCGGACGCAATCGCGTGCACTGTAGGAACAATCAAGCCGCATCGAACTGGCGATGCGGTCGAACCCGAACGCGAGAACTCTTTTGGAGAACTTGGAAAACAGCGGGAGGCACTCGGGGAGGGGCCTAAACAAAAGAGTTGGTCCCCCCCATCGAGTCCTGAATTCCCGTGAAAGAGGAAGAAGAGCATACAAAACCTTGAAACTCGAGGCTCGAACCTCGAGAGCCATCCTGTCCCCCCGCTCCTCCTCCCTCCTCTTGGCGAGGGCGGTCCTCGCTGTCAGCTGCGGGCCTGAGGCGGGGGGGCCTTGCGCAGCCGCGCGGGCTCGCCGCGGTCCACGCGGCGGGGCGGAGGAGGCACGCGCAGCAAAGGCACGTGGCGGCGGCGGAGGAGGAGGACGAGGGTCCGGGTTCGGATAGCTGAACAGAACGGTCCGCAGCTCGAAGCTCACAGGAGGAGGAGGAGGAGGAGGAGGAGGAGGAGGAGGAGGAGGAGGAATAGGAGGTGGAGGAGGAGGGGGAGGAGGAGGAGGAGGAGGAGGAGGAGGAGGCTACGAATGCGCCTCGGCGGGGCCGTCCACGGGCAGAAAACAAATGATGGCTCAAAAGGCGCCCTCTTCAGAGCCTGAATACACGGATGCCGCATTGACGGCGAAGAAATCCCCTCCTCGCGCCGGCGCGTCCCAAGCGCAACAACCCGACCTTCCGACGAAGCGGGAGGTTGCACCCGCCCGCTGGCACTGTGGACGCGGGCGGACTGTGCCTCGACGGCTCCTCGGACGAGTCGGTTTTCGGCTTGCCCTGGGTCCCCAAGCAGCGCCGCAAGACGAACGCGGTCTTCGCGTGAGGGCGCGGTTGGCATCTCGAGTGTCCATGTTTTTCGTGGGCCCTATAGTGCGGGTGCTCCCGTTTGGTCACCCGTCGGAGCTGCTCCTGAGCTCCGTGACCAGCGCGCGCTCCCAGGCGCGGCCCCCGCAGGACCTTCGGTGGGCTGGCCTCTGTGAGGCACACTCCACATTTTAAAGCAACAGACAAGGGTGCGTTCGGGCGCTTGCGTGACGGTCGTTTTGACCATCCAGTGCCCTGCGACTCGACATGCACAGCTATCGTAACTGCTCCAATCCTGGGGCCAATCGAGCTCAAGAATGGCAGCGGCGGGCTCGTGCACGGCGCTGCGGCCTGCAACGGGCGGTGCCTCAGGAGCAGCTTCGAGCGCTGTGGACTGCGCCATGCCGCGGCCCCCTGGCCTGTCCAGGACGCCTTGGTCCGCGTCGGGCGCCGGTGCATCCGCGGCTGCAGCGTGCGCCTGCATCTCCAGCGCCCAGCCTCCTCCGCAATGACGCGGAACCCACACCATAGATTCACGTCGCCCTCGCTGGGGCCGTGGAGCCCCACAAATGCGGCCGAAAGTCGCTGGAGCTCGAGCCCGTGCCCGGACCAGCAGCTATGCAGTCGACCGTGCCCTGGCAATCGATGCGCAGGGAGAAGGGGGGCATTGCGAGCTCGCATAACATGAAGACGCAATAATCCTTAGCCTCGCTGATCCCCTGCTCCAGCGACGCCCATAACGGTAATGGCACGTAAGCTGCCGAAGTGACGCTTCCATCCCAATCCACTGAGCAAGCGGCCCATCCAGCGCGAGCCATGCGCGGGAACTCGCCATGGAACCGGGAGCCGTTGGTGAAGAGACGCCCTTTGAGTAGTCCATCCACGGGGCGGCGGACCCAGGAACATCCGGGCGGGGCTGGGCAGGATCCCTCGAGCGCAGGCTCGGCGCGCGCAATCACGCAACCGCTGGCTTGTGAGGTCCCGGCGCAAGACCGCCAAGGCGTCGCCAAAGGGTGCCTCTCATCCCGCACCGAAGGCAGCAGCCATGGCCCACCAGCCCATGCCCTGCCAGACGCGCCTGGCTCCAGAGAGAGAGAGTTGGATAAGGCAGCCCGGAATGCCCGTTGTTGACGTTTGCTCCAGCCTGAGGGGGGAGATCTCAAGATCCTGTCGGACTCCCTGACGGCGGCGCGCTCGGCCAAGCGGCGGACCTGCATGGGCGGCGCCCAGGTGAGGTCCAACAAGACGTCCTCGTCGGTGAACGGCGCCATCGAACTGCCAGCGGAGGCGGCGCAGCGTCAATACCGCGACGTCCCCTGACGAGGCCACCCTCCGGGGGCCCTTCGCCTGGTCGAGCTTGCCTAGCGCCTTCGCCAAAACGGTCTGCAAAAACTGCCGCTTCGAACTGCCGTCCCAAGTCGCCATGGCCCAAGTGCCGACCACGTCGCCGGAATGGGTGACAAAGGGGTCAGCCCGTGGCCCACTGCGATGTGAATGGAGGCCTAAACTGACGGAAGCTCTGCGAGGGAGCCGCCTCATCGCCGCGGCAGCGTCAACCTGAAAGGCGTGCAACTGGGCGTCACTGACGCCCATCGCTGTGCCCCCGCCCCCGGCGCCTGCAGTTGGCCCCATCCCCTGTGACATGGCGATGTTGCCCCCTCCCGCTTGCAGCATGCGAAGCTGCTGTCCCTTCCATCGCGCTCCCCCCTGCCAGCCCCTGTTTGTCCCAACCCTCCTGATAGGCCGTGCCGCGATGTCTGTGCCGAGGCTGCGCGCATGGTGAACGCGGCAGCGGCTCGGAAAGGGCCATTGTTGTCCGAAGCGGCACGCTAGCTCGGTCGAAGACGCCACGTACTTGTACTTCGTGCGCGAGATGGGCAGTTCAAGTAATTGGGACGTAATGTCCCAGATACTCCTGATGGTAAAAGTTCCCATTGGTTCGAAAACATATTCAAACATATTCAAACGTATTCAAGGATATTCAAATATGTTCAAATATATTCAAGCCAGACGTTTTGATATTAGGGCTGGGATTCGGGACTGGCCCTGGGCCGGAAAACGCGCCGTCTGGTCGACCGGCCCCCCCTCGGGTAACCAATGCAAGCTGTAGGGTGCGACGCGTATGCGTTGCCGTCGATTGCAAGGGGTGGGCCCAAACCTGGCGCGCTCAGATGCGAGCGTAATCGCGAGATGCGGGTGCCGTCGCGAAGCCAAGCTCACTCCACAAGAAAAATCACCCGACCCCCTTTGGGCCAGCACCAAAGGTCACTATGGCGAAGGGACGCTCTTACGCGTGCTCGAACACTCCCTGTCCCATCTGCGTGTCGACCATGGCTACGTTGCCCAGCGCCTGGAGCTCCACGTCGTCAGCGACGCTGCGCAGGGCCAGCTGGGGCCGGGTGTACATCGTGACGCGGATGGGTTTAACGGGAGGTGTTTGGCCAACGTCGTCGCCGCGCTGCAGCCTGTGATTACCGACTTCGCGGCGAACAGGCTGGCCAACACTGCGCCTCCGTACTGGATCTGGCGGCCCCCCGACCAGACGACGCACGGCGCCCAGAGCAACACCGCGCGCCCCCGAACGCGGACAGCAAATTGCGGTACCAACCGGCCCTGTCGCACGCCGTCGCAGCGCTGGATCCCCAGAAGCATGGCTCCCGATGTTTGCGCTCCCACGCGCGGCACACAGGCTGCCTCATCTTCAAGTGCACTTTGCTGCAGAGACACATCAGCCCGATGGGGTGGATGCCGCTATCAGGCTTAGGAAGGAGGATGGCCTCTAGCCGCCGCGGCCAGCGTTCGAACTCCGCCAGAACGTCCCAAACTGGACAGAACTCGTGCGTTGAGGCCATCCCATCAGACCAGCCACCATGCCGAAGGAGGAGGAGGAGGAGCGCACTAGCCCAAGAGAGGGGACGAAGAGACAGGGGACGAGACGAAGAGTCGATGGTCCCACCCTCCAAGCGCGCCTGGGCCAGCAGCGGGATTTGCTGGGGAGCGCTGCCGACAATCTGCTGGAAGTCTGTCTGCTTTCGACAAACCTGTTGCAGACGCGCCTGGGCTACACCTATCATATTAGAAGATCTGTGACGAAATGTGTGGTGCACATGAAAGCACACGTCAACATATACGACAATCGAGATAAGCAAATTCGACGGGATGGGAAAATAGCGATACAACTGGAGCCGCTCGATACCTGTAGCAGGCAAGAACGCGCTAGGGAGCGCTGGCAGGAAAATACCCAGCATGTCGAAACTCGGACATTTTAGAATATGGCGGAGATGATCACTTTCAGCTAAACCGCAGGCGACGCACGGCGCCGTGGAATTCCGAAAACGCTCCGAGGTACACCAGGCATTCAACAAAGTTTTTTTGTTTATTAAAAAACGAAGCTAAAACAGACGGGGGCACCTTCTGCGAGGCCCTCCAGAAGGCCATCGGCATACAATCTTCTTGGGCACTAGACAGAGACGGGCTGATCTTACGCAGGCGGCGGCTCGCCGCATCATGAATATCGACAGGGTCAATCATATGAAGGTGCTGTTCTACTTTCTTCTGGAGCGGCATTTCACGCATGGGGATATTCGGGATATCTGAGAGAACTCTGAAATTACCAATCATATTCTTCAGGATCGAACTTTTCCATCAGGGCTGAAACTCCCAGGCAACGCGGCACTCTGGATCGTCAGCAAATTCAAATAAAACCGGTCGAGCAGCATGAAAGGCAGAGAGGTGCGAGGCAGCGCGGAACATTGCAGCTCGACTGGTCCGTTCCAGACATCTGGCATTGAGCGGGAAGCCTAGCTGAGTGAGCGCACGCATGACATTGTGGGTGATGGCATTGTTAGGGCCAACCGTCAGCTTTTGCAAACACTCGCGCTCTATCTCGAGTGCTTGCTTAGGGGGGGCCAACATCTGAGCCGCGAAGGTCAGGGCCGAAAAGGCGAGCATGTTATATTGTGCGACCGACTTGGTGAGCCCAAGATCAAGACCCGTGACGAGCGTAGCTCTCCTTGAATACTTGATCAAGGCCGGCTCCCAAGATGCCCAGGAACTATCAGGCCCGAGAGTGATGCCTAAGTACTAGCCGAACTTCGCAAACTGGAGGCCACCGACTTCGATGCCATTGTCGACCAGGGCCTCCCGAAACTCAGACTCTGTGAATCTGCCGATGAGGACAACTTTGGTTTTTCGCGTGTTGACGTAGAGTCCAAAAGCGGGGCCAGCATCGGCCCATACCAGAAAACTCACCGAGAAAGCCTCGTACACCTGACCCGAGGAGATGCCCGCATCGTCGGCACATGGACCAACGCTGTGCACAGGCTGCGGGAGCAGAAGGCATACCTTGCGCAAGATCGGGTCGATCGTCAGCGCTGCTTAATTCATCGGCCGATTCAATATCCTATATCATCGTGGAGTCCACGATGTGAAATCGATACCCAAGCATTACTGTAGAGACAATGAATAACACGGATAATA